CCTAATGAACTCCTCTTCAAAAAGAACATAAGCTTGAATAGTGTACAATGATCTTGCATGAACTAATATACCAATATTAGCAAAAGCTAGGTGCCTATTACCCCTCAGAGTATTGTAATCTCTTGCACCTTCCTTACTTCTCCACTCAGAAATGACATCAAGAAAAACATGATAAAAATCACATAAACCTTGAGTCTTATTAAGACGTTGTGAAACTGACTTATTAGTAGTTTCACTACGTTGATAAGACAATATACCACCAGACCAATACTTCTTAGAATAAGCAGGACACCACATTTCCTTTATTTTATACAAATCACATAACCAATCATCATTTTCACATTTGTATTTATCACACATCCTGTATAACAGAAATGATCATATATTAATTTAAAAATGAACAAAATATAAATTAAAATATGTACATTTGTGTAAAGAATAATGATCATAAACAATATGGACACTAATAATATTATGATAACATACATAACAAAGTAAATTGTATGATCATATGTAAAACACTAAATGTTCATATATATATCACATAATAATCAAATATATCACATAATAAAAATAAAAAATAAATATAAAAAACAATAATTTACCTTTTCCAGAAATATTCAAATTCAGCAGGAGTTTCACAATACTTCAAAAGATATCCAAACAAATCTGTAAAGCCTTCCAAAGCTCTCAATGCTCCAATGTGTTTCTTAGAATTTTGTTCAAGATGCCATACACATAAACGATGATGAACAGTTGAAGGAAAAATGTTTCTTATACCCGCTGCAATCGCTTGTGCTTGATCAGTCATAATTGTAATGGGACTTTTCCTCCCCATTGAGTGCAAAAATGTATCAAACAACCAATCAAAAGACTCGGTGCGCTCATTAAGAATAAAACCCATACCAAACATGACATTGTTACCATGATGGTTCATCCCAACAAATGGAGCACATATCATTCCATATTTATTAGTTCTATAAGTTGTATCAAAAACCAACAAATCTCCAAAGTAATGATAATCTCTCATCATCCTACCATCACGCCAAAAAAAACTAACTAAAGCACCACTATCATCTTGTTCAAAATCATAATAAAAATCTGTCTCATCCACATGTCTCTTGGCAAAATATTTAATCAATTGGTTACCATCACATCCTTCAATTTGGGCAGCTTTTTCAGATGACAATGCATTATAAGCATCAGAAGCAGTAAAACAAAGATTAGGAGATCCCCCAACCTCCTTCTTTAGAACCCTCAAAGAATCAGTAACTTTGACTCCACTCAATTTCATTGTTGAAATGAAAAGAAGCTGCTCTTTATTCACATCTCTTTGAGACCTTATCAAATGCCTTTTTTCAGGAGGAATCATAGCATGATTATGAACCATTTCATGTCTTGTACATGTATAGACCCCTAAATGATCAATATGAAACTGCACAAAAGCTAAACAACCAGTTCGATGATCCAACTTCTCATAAATCCTTTTATTCTTACACTTATTATCTTTGAATCCCTCATTACAACAAACAAATCTTTTCATCAAAAAAGAATCATCTCTTCTTCTCTTACTCTTCCCAATTCGAATTCCAAAACCTTTCCTAAAAGCATATTCATTATACGCTTCGAAAGCTTCATCTTCAGATTTAAATTCTTTATCCTTTAATTCAGACTGTTCTGCTTCTAAATACATAATATCATCATTTTTTTCCACTGCACAATATACAATTATAAATGATCATAAAGAGTTTCATGAATGAACAATAACAAATAAGTAAAATGTTCAATATCAAAACAGCACATGATCAATTGCAAAAAGAATTTCAGCACATAATATTTTGAACAATATTTTCATTATTTACCACTACACATAATATCGATATAAAAATGTAAAAATAAATGATCAAAAATGACTTTAAGACTGAACATAAACACATTAGTAACAATGAATAAGAAAACATAAACGATTAATTGAAAGTATAATCTACAAAATATACGACAAAAACACACAATTCTAAAACACAGAGAAAACAACAAATGAAACAACAAATGAAGCAACAAAATGTTCATACAAAGTACAACAATCCAAAAACGTTCATCATAATGTAATCAAAGTAGTAAATTCAAAAATCGAAAGTGAATAATAATACATCAATTAAGTTCAAATTAACAGAGCATTATAACAGAACAAATTAGGGATAATTAAAAATTGAAAAATTATGATCACAATTACTCACATTGTTGCACAAACGAATCAACGAAACGAAGTCCAGAAGGAAACACACGCTCGCAATCGCGATCAAAATCAACGCAATCTCCAGATGCAGAATTCGCCATTGATGATCGGTAACAATTAACGAATTCGTTCAAAAAATCAAATGAAGAAGATGAATTAGCGAGAGAAAAATGTAGATCAAAAATGGAGGTTGGTTGATCAATTGAAGAGAGAGAAAAAATAGGGTTTAAAATCATATATATACATAAATTGAATAATAAGAATCAAAGGAAAAAGGAAAAAAGAGGAAGAAAAGAAAAAAAGAAAAAAAGGAAAAAAAAAAAAAAAAAAAAAAGGAAAGAATCGCAAAAGGAAAGAAGCTGCACATGAGAACTCAATACCAGCTACAAAACGACGTAGCATAGGGGGGGTGTAGGGAACACACCTTACACTAGGGTGTAGGGTAAAATTTTCAGTGTCAAATTGGGTACCCAGATGGAGTTTAGGTTAGCCCGCGATGGGTCGAGGTGTTTGAATCGGGTTCTGACGGGTCATTTTATCTTAACAAACCAAATCAAGTCGAATCAAGCTTAATTATATTCAAGTCAAAGGTGGGTCAAGGTATGATCAGGTAAAAATCGAATTCGGTTCGAGTCATATCGAGTTCAATTAAGCTCGGATTCAAATTTAATTTGGTTTATTTGGGTCAAAATGGATTTAATAGACTTTAAATCAGGTCATTTCAAATTCAGTTAGATCTCAGTTAGGGTTAAGAAGGACCAAAACCAATAGGAATATCCTACCAATTAAGAGAAATTCAAGTTATGACTTATAATAAGGCTCAATTGTAAACATTTTTTTTTTCTTGAAAAAAGATCTGCAAAAAGTCACGACATCTACAAGAAGATTTAAATCTAACATATATATATATTAAAGATTGAATCAAATTAAATCTAACATATTATACTCGTATTAAAGATTGAATCATATAAAAACTTTCCTTCAACAAAGCTACGTTTATCGCTGTATATCAAACATTTTTTATATTCTCTGTTATATCATTGTGTTTTGTAGCTTTTTCTTCGACAAGAGGGTCCATCGATCTATTGTAGCTGTCGTAAAAATGATTCCCGTCTGATTGTAACTGAAATATTAACTTCTTTTCCAAGCCTACACAAATCTTTACGTATAAAACATTTTGTACAAATCCTTCCATAGAAAAACTTACTACATTCAAACAATATAGTTTTAAGTGTTGTCAAATTTCAAACCGAAACTGTTTAACTGCCCGAAACCGACCGACCCAAATGAGAACCGAACCGATTAAAAACCGATTTTTTTTAAATCGAAAACCGACCCGAACCGTATTTTAGTAAACCCGAAACCGAATCGACCCGAATAATGTTAAACCGTATAAGAACCGAACCCGTTAACAAACCGAACCGAATATAAACCGAACTAAAAGAAAACCGAACCGAAAAAGAACCGAACTGTATCTAACCCGAAACCGGTTCCAACCCGAAACCGTTTAAACTGGCAAAAAAACCGCTTACACCGAACCGTTAGCGAACTGCTACCCGTTTGCACCGAACCATTTAAAAACCGAACTAATTGTAAACCAAACTGGTTATAAAGCGAACCGTTTATGAACCAAACCGCTTCTAAATCGAACCGTTTACAAACTTTTTTATATAATTAAATGGAATTTTTTTTTTATTTTTTACGGGGATATAATTAAATGGATTAAATATTAGAAATCTTAAAATATTTTTTTAAAAATAGCAAGGCAAATCATTCATTAAGATCTTAAGGATAATCAGTGTTCACAAACAAGAGCAAAACAAGCAGGCTCAGGCCCTGCCTCAAACTATTAGCAACACTACTGCCTCTAGTCATGTATACATTTGAGGTGATGAAACCAAATGAACAAAAAGCTTGAAATATTAAGTACCAAGGCTTGGCTGAAGGCGTAATAAATAAAATTAATTCACAGAGACTATTAAGCATATGATTACATTGATTCTGTGAGTAATAATGAAATAAAGATGGGAGTGTGCTAGTGACATGAATATACTATTAGGCTATGTTTTAATTCAGATTCAACTATAATTTAGTAATCTTGAAATGGAACCGATATGAATAACGTTAAAGTGGTTAAACAATCGAAGAACCGAACCAGTTATAAACTGAACCGAAAAAGAACCGAACCAGCTAAAACTGAACCCAAAAAGAACCGAACCAGTTATAAACTGAACCAAAAAAGAACCGAACTGTTTCTAACCCGAAACCGTTTACACCGCACCGTTAACAAACCGCAACCCGTCTCCACCGAACCGTTTACTACCCGGAATGTTTACAACCCGAACCGAATTTAAACCGCTTAAGAATAAACCGAAACCGAATCGAACCGATAACTATTTAAACCGAACCAAAACCGACCCGTGAGACAATTAAACCGATTCCAAACCGACCCGATTAAATACCGAACCGAAACTGAACTGTCAAACCGTTTTGACAGTGCTAGGTTTTATCATAGCAGATAACAAAAAACATGAAAAACTAAAAACTTATCTTAAATAATCATCGATGAAAAAGTAAATTTATTAACATATCAAATTGGTCCCATTTGTACATCCTCATTTAAGTGGTAACTTTTGATCATATCTCCATCCTTAAAATAGTTTAATTGAAGAAAAACAATACGGAGTATTTAGTATCATAGTGTATGTGCCCCACATTATTCATCCTTCCAACGATAGGCAAAATTAGATAATGGGAGACAAACTAGAGTACCAAAACATGAAAACTAAGTAGCAGATAACAGATAGAGAGGAGAGAACAAGAATAGCCTAGGCTTGGCACTCTCATGAGTCATGACAATGGTATTAACTGTTGTCTATAAACAAGTTACACTTAAATTATGCCACATCTTAGAAACAATTAATTAATAAATATGGTAAGAAACAAAAAAATTACAGGCTAAATCTGGTAGAAACTCATGCCATTGACGTATGTAGGCGAGACGTGGTACTTTTGCTGCTGATAAAGCCTACAAGAATGCCTTAATCTAATTGAACCAAAAACAGTTGTCAATTCTTGCTTTCTAGAGTATCATACTTACGATTTTGTTTCTCCGCGCTCAATATCCTTCACAGGGGCAACATTCAAGTCACCCTTCAACAATCTAATTTCTTCTTCTGTCAAACTGTTTTTGGCATGGTGGGCTGCCTTTGCAGCAGCCTGCTTTTCAAGTTCCACAGCCCAACTGTAAACAACCATACCCATAACAGCTATTGCCATGCCCATGATGTTCTTCAAAGTCATCTCTGAATCAAAAAGCAGCCAGCCCAATGTCAAGACGCACACCGTTTTCATGTGACCAAGAACCTGGAATGAAACGGCTGAGAAGCGTCCAATACAAAGGTACTGACTAACATTGCAGAACACCGCCAAAGAGCATGAAAGAAGAATGAACAGCTGCAGTACATTTGGCAAGAAAAGGAAATTTAAGCATCAAATTGTAATACAGTACCAAATAATCTTAAGTGCTCAAAATGTGCTCCTCAAAACAGGGATCAGTATGTACTTACAAGGGCACCAGTAGACATCTTGTATGTCATTAGGAATGTTCCATTCAGATAGTAATCAATAAATGGACCAAGCACTATAAGAGAAATAGCTTGGAAAGGTGCAGTTTTGCTCAGCAACTCAAAAGATCCAATAGAATATTTCTTCTGTAAAGAACCTATTGACTGCAACACAAACAGAAATATATGCCAATGCAAAAAGTTATAAGCATAGTCAAAATCGCAAACTTGCAGCTTCCAACTTTGCTTCCTAGATCTGAAAGGTTGTGTAAATATTAAAAAGATTAAATCAAAAACTAATTTAAAACCAAACACCCGAGCCATCTATTGCTACATTGGCATTGAGTGATTGAGGTCACCAATTGTCACGAAACAGTTACTCAATGCTATCATGTCATCCAATCTGATTCCACTAAAGTAGACAAAGAATACTAATGCAACTTCCTAGTTCCTACTCAAAGATCTTGAAGATAAAATTAATTATTTGGTATTCATCATCCTGCATGTCAGATTTTATCTTTCCCGGCATATTTTGAACGAAAAATTTGGTTAACAATGTATCTCGGAGTCCTAAAAATGTGCACAATGAAAGACATACCTACTGGAAAAATCTTATACAACCATTCAACACTGACTGTCTTTCTTACTTTCTTAGAGGTCCAGACTCCAGATAGATAGACATTAAGTGCAGATCATTGCATGTAAAGACAAATTATTGTAGTAGAATATGTGTTTTAATGAGCCCATAAAAAAATTGAAGGAATCGAACCCTCGTACTCAATTGCTACACCACAGCTGTGTATACAATTTCTTTTGAGATAATTACAGAAATGACGGAACATTTGTGCATTTGTATACACTAATCAATACTAGTCGGTGTAGTCGCCTTACAACAAATAACCGAACCTTTCTTACTAACTACTATAAACAGCACAATATTGTAAAAGGCCCATTTTTGTGAAGTAACTATAATAAATATTGAAAAGATATTAATGAATGATATTTCTTAGATTTTATCAGTCAAAAGTGAACTTGTGTAGTATAGACATGTAATATAGAACTAAAGGATGAAATTAAATGTAAGATTCATGGCATGTGAGATGTTTGCAATATTAAATTTATGCAACCTTTTCTTATATATTGTAGGATATTTAGTAAATGCCAATTGCACAACAATATTATAAGAGCCTTAATCTCAATAATGGAGTAGACTACATAAACTAAAATTTATATCTCCAGCATTCTCAACCAAAATCCTCTCCATGCCCTCCTAGCAAGTGCTATATGCTCTTGTAACCCAACCTTTTCATATCATTCCTAACATCTTTCATCGTAAGTCAACTTTGGTCTCTCTCCATCCAAGTAAACGTCAAAGGTAAGAGTTTTTATGTCATTTTTAGCAATTTAACAACCCATCCCACACCCTCCACCCCCCGGTGAGAGCTGTGAGACCAAGATTTTCCTACCCTAAAGAGCATGTTAGCAATTTATCATGGAGAAGAATCCAACTAAAAAAAAGTATTTACACATGCGATTAGAAGGATACAGCTATATATATATATAAACATTAGACGACAAATTTTTAGCAACTTATATAGCATATGTATTTACAACCGGTGAGAGAGGGATGGACAATGAATTTAGGGCTGACTCTCCTACTGCTTATGGGAAATGTGGGTAACAGTAATAATCCAATACAAATAATTGCATAATAAGAGATACATAGGAAGATATGGCCACATTTAAACGCCTACTAGTGGACAGAATAAAACAAAGTATAGAAAATGTATACTCACAATTTGTTGCAATGACGTTGACAACACTGCCACGGTAGCACATATAAAACCTTTGGCATTGACCTTGACATCAGTTACAGTGCAAATACCCACACCAATAACCACAAAGACAACAGACAACTTGACTTCCTTTGAGTAGTGCTTGCTGTGAAGGATCCATTCCAAAACGCAAACCACAGGAATCATACTCAACTTTGAAATCTGTAACAACACAGGCACTCAATGAGCAAGCACCTTGGGAAATTAGAAGCACTATAAATCACACTGGAAAAAGTAAATTAGAGAACTTTTGAACAAAACAGTGAAAATCACACAGCATTATGGCTTGTGAGGATATCTCTCATTCTCTCCAACTCATGTAAATTAGAAGTTTAAACAGGTGATTATCATACACCTAAGTATACATGGTCTATATATAACTACTCTTAGTATACATGTGTTTATTCCAGAAGATTTTGGAGATCTAGTTGAGTGCCTAGGAACCTTTATTGTTAAGGATCAATTTGATAAGCAATGCTTTCTCTTCCAAAATTCCACCAGCTGCAAGAATTGTGAATACCTCATAGAAGCATACAAGTACGGTATAGGCAACAACAAAACCAACCAGAAAAACAACTACTACATACAAGAAAAAGCTATCGGTTCTATCTCCCCATCCCCCCCCCCCACCTCCGCATTCTGGAATGCTCGTCACCTCAACTTTTAATTTTCAATTTATAGTACAACCACCCTGCCTACTTTAAGGTGTAGAAACTAGGTTACTTGGAGTCTTCTATTTCTTTGCAATGTGGATTTATAGAAGATCTTCATGGAATAATCATGGCTAACACTTGGGAGCATACCCAAGCGTGAAACAAATACCCAAGGCGGGAGTACCATTGCTCTTGTACAGCAAATATCTTCAGAACAGGAAAGTATTACTAGATCAATATCTTTTTATAACGATAAGTTTCTTGAAATCCTTGACTACATCATCTTCTCAACTTCTTACCTTAAATGTAACAAAGTTTCGATGATATTAATCACTGCTCCTTATGTAATAGAGATCAAAGATCACCTTAGTATCAAACACTTGACAAAAATAGTAATATACATTGATCAATACACACATACATTGAGAAGATAAATGCAAAGCAATTAACAGGCAAGCTAGTAATAGTGGAAAAACACAAACCTGATAAAAACCGACAGAATTAAGCATAAGACTAAGGTTCATCCCAGTAATAGACATATTGGCAACGACGGAAAACCAAAGGAGCTCCCAAGCAGGAACATGCTTGGACACAGAATACCCGGTCGCATTCGATACCAGACCCACCAGGGCAGTCACAGTGAAGTGAAAACCAGTCAAGGTTGTAGCTGTGAAACATCACAAAATCCAAGCAATTTCACAGTTATAACTCAACCCCCAAATATGGATCAATCCATTCAATACACAGATTTCAAAACAAATAATACTACATTATATAAAAACTTGAAGGGTTCAATAAAAGAAACAATTCAGGTCAGATGAAGCAGATCCAATAACAATAACTCGATATACAATTGTCACATTACTCGTTCAAATTACACTATCAACGCGACTATTAATTCTGGATATATATATAGAGAGAGAGAAAAAGAGAAAGAGAAAAACCGAAGCTGAAGGCATAGCCAGAAGAAGACATGAGTTGCTTGTTGGCCATAATAAGACCGACGGAGCTGATGATGTTCATAGCCCAGGCGCCCATATCTGAAACAGCAGGCGCTTTCTTCTCGGACTCCATTGAAAGACCCACCAAAGCAGATCTAAAACAATCAATCTATTCTGGGCTAACAACAGCAGCAGCAGCAGCAGCAGCCCAGAATTGCAAAGTGAATCACCGACGAAAGTGCAGAGACAAAGATAGTGATGATGGCAGACTTCTCTTTCTTCTTCTTTATTTGATTGTTATTTATTTATACAGTAAACTATTTTATCAAAGTAAAAATTTTGTTTTAAATAAATATTTGTAAATTTCACTTTGGGTTCAAGGAAGATGGGAAGAAGATCTGGATTTTAATTGGGGGAGACGTGATGTGATGGGCGCATAATCTTTTTGTTTGTCTATCCTATTACTCTAATTAGGATTTCTGATTTATCTTTTGTTCCATTATTAAATCTTGATTATTTTTTAGCAAGTTTAGAGTCTAAAACCAACATCCCACCTTAAACAAAATTACTCATGTATGTAGGTAATCTTGTAAATATACTCCGTACTAAACATGGGCAAGGGCCGTGCCCGTGCCGCCGCGGGCCGTGCCGGGGTGGGGGTCGTGCCGTGTCGGCTCCGCGGCGGGCCGTGCCGTGCCGTGCCTAAATTTGGCACACCCCAACCCACGGCACGGCACGGCCCACGTGCCTTGCGAGCCGTGTCGTGCCGGGCCGCGGGCCAAACCGTGCCAGCTTATTTTTTTTTTTATTTTTTTTTAATAAATGAAAAAAAAAACGAATTAAACGATATATATTTTTTTTAGTACAACTTAATATATGTGATTAATTTATGTTTATGTTAAATGTTAATGTTAATCTATTTTGTTTTCATTTTTTGAACAACTTTATTTTAATTTAGGTTATATAAACTATTTATCTAATTAATAATTATGTTTAAGTTTATTTAAACAAATAAAAACAATTTTATTAATTTAGCAAAAAACAACAATGCATATAATAAAAAAAAAATACGAGTGCGATAATCCGAAAACACAAAAAATTGAAGAATAACTTATTATATGACGGTAGTCGGTACGAATGTACGATAATTCAATAATACAAAATAAGTAATGATAATTAAAAATCGTACAATAGTGTATGAATATTGAATAACTTCATTTATTATACGGAATACGAAGTTCGATAATATAAAAAGAATACAATAGTGTATAATGTAAATATGTAATCATGTAATTATTATTGGTCGTCTTCGTCTTCGCCTTCGTCTTCATCTTCGTCTTCGTCTTCGTCTTCTAGAGGTTCAAGTTCATCCGCCAATTGAGTTGATTGAGAAGTATGAGAACTAAAAGAAGTCGACGTTCCTTCATCGTCGTCGTTTTGTGCATAAGTACGATCTTGAGAACGAGTTTCGGCATCCAACCAATCCTTGAAGCAAACACACATTTCAAGTGTTTCGGGTTTTAGTCTTGTTCTTCTATCGTCTAAAACTCGTCCCGACGCACTAAAAGCTCTTTCGGAGGCAACGGAGGAGACTTGGATTGCAAAAATATCACGAGCCATTGCCGACAAAATTGGATGTTTCACGGATTGTGATTTCCACCAATCGAGGATGTCGAGGCCAAACTTCTCTTCATCGTCCATGTCTTTCATGAAGTCGTAACTTAAGTACATTTGCAACTCCGAAACATCGCTTTGTGTTCTCTTACTTGATGATGATTCCGTACCTGAAAACTTGGACATCATGTTAGCAGCTTGTGCAAATAAACCTTTGGCCCGTTTACTTACATTTTTGGATGTTTGAGAAGGGGCAAATCGAGACACGGTTCCATATTTACTTTCATAGGTGGAGTATAAAGAAAAAAAATCATTTGTCACCTTAGTTTTAAAAGCTTCAACATCATCTTCAAAATTCATGTTACTATAATAAATATCAATTAATAAAAAGGTGCCATCATATTTTTGCCTAGGATCTAAAATAGAAGCAAAAATATAAATCATAAGAATATCGGTGTAATATTTACGCCATTTTTCCTCCATGGATGGAAGATATCCACGATAAACATGTTGAGATCGGTGTTCCGCAAAAAGTTGTGCAAGTAAACATGCATTACTAAGAAAAGAATGAGAACATGGATTATATACAGAAGAAAAACAATGTGTCATACCATATAGTAATTGTAAAAACTGCATATATTTTTCACAATTAACCCAATCATCTTCTAGTAAAGCATTTTGTGGAAATTTCATATTATAAAAAAAGTGTTAAATGAACCTTGTACTCGATTGCCCGACTCAACATTTCATAGGTGGAGTTCCACCTAGTTGGACAATCCGGTGCTATTTTTATGGTTTTTATCCGTTGTTGCAAAAACCTTTCCATTCTTGATATCTCATGTTAGAGCTATTAATAGACATAATAACATTCCTTATTTTGTGATAAAATGGACCAATTGCTTGTGTTCCATCCTTCACACACAAGTTAAGAACATGACAAATGCATCTAACATGAAGTGCATCTCCATCTAATATAACATCGGTCTATTGGTTTTTGACCAAATTCACACTATATGTCATAGAAGTTGCATTATCGAAAGTCATTGACATGATTTTATCCCTAAGACTATATGCATCAATGGCTTCCATTAAATGATGTGAAATGTTAAGACCGGTATGAGGGTATTCAAGCATTTTGAAATGAATGATGCGTTTTTGTAACATCCACTCATTATCTAACCAATGACAAGTAACACATAAATAGTGGAGTCCGTAACCACCATCCCATGCATCGGCGGTTAAAGAAACTCTACTAGGAAGATTAGCTAATTCATTTACTAATTTCAATTTGTACTCTAGATAACTCTTCATGGCAGCAGATCGAACGGTTTTTCGGGAGATTTTTTTGTGTTTTGGTTGTAGTGCTCGGTTAATATAGTTGTTGAAGGCATCATTTTCAGCGAAAATAAAAGGTTGTTCCGCATGTACAATCATTCTCCCAAGTTCATCCCTATCTCTCTCGTAATTGTAAATGAAGCCTTGTGGATGGAATTGAGAAATTTTGGGTTGGGTTGGATCAGTAGATGGTCCACCACATTTTTTTGTATGTCTATTAAGGTGTTCCGTCCCTCCCTTGGTATCGGCCGAGAAAATTTTACCACAAGTCCGACACTTGGCCTTTTGTCCATTTTTACTTAATTGATAATGTGACCAAACTACACTCTTTCTTTTGGTTTGAGCAAAATCCTCTTCGGTACACCACTCTAATATGTTAGGATTTTGGGTGTTGGGCATTTGGGTGGATGGTTCACTCGACCCGCAGGCTTGTGTTTGGCTACCTTGGGAAGGAGGAGGAAAAGGAAATTCATGTTGTTGAAATTGGCTTTGTTGAAATTGGGTCCAAGGAGCCATATCATCCATTTGTTCTTGCCCTCCCGTGTTTTGGGGATGAAAGAAAGGGGTGGAAGTGTTTGGAAAGGGCATGTTAGGGGAGGGAAAGGGCATGTTAGGGGGGGGGGCATAGGCATTGAAGTGTTTGGATTTGGTGATTCCCTACGTTTTGACTTGGCTTTTCTAGAGGAGGAGGAAGCGTTCGGGTTTGATGCCATGATTAATTAATAATAATAACAATAAAAGTAACAATAACAATAATAATAATAATACAAATAACAATAACAATAACAATAACAAAGTAACAATAACAATAATAATAACAATTCACAACAATAATAACAATAAGAATTAGTAAGTAGTTTTTATATAAATTAAATTTTTTAAAAATAATTATAATAATAGTAGATTACTTGGATCAATGAGATCCCAGGTAGGAGAGGTTAGAAGCGACGTTGTCCAGAGCCCAAGTCCCGCCTTAGACAGATTTCAACAATCCAAATAATCCACAATTAAAATAGAAAGTAGTTTTTATATAATTAAGTAGTTCCAACTTCCAAGAATACAATAATAATAATAATAATAATAATAATAATAATAATAACAATAATAATAATAATAATAACAAGATTAACAACTAACAATAACAAATTAAAATAAAGTTGAGTTAGATCTTACAATGACGCTTCAATGCTTTCCCAAATTTATAATTTCCCGAACTTATAATTTTCCGAATTTATAATTTCCCGAATGTAAATATAACAATATATTTTTTTTGGTAGTAGACTAATAAAGGTAATAATAGTAAAAATGTAAAATTTATAAGAGAGTAGGATTTTTATTTTTTTTCACAAAAGAGAGCAAGATTGTAGGATTTGTAGGAATTTGAGAATTGAGAATTTGGGACTTGAGAGTAAGAAAATTAGAGAATAAGAGAGAAGAGATGAGTTGATGAATTGTGAAAGTTTTGGAGGAAAATATGAGGTATTTATAGGGAATTTGGGTGGAAAAAGGGGTGGAAAACTAGCCGTTTATAGCTGTTGGAAAACGGCCATAAACGGCTAGTTTTCCAACGGTAATTTGGCACGGGCCGTGCCGGGCCAGGCTCGTGCCGTGCCCGGCCGTGCCACGTGCCGTGCCGCCGGGTCGTGCCAGCATGCCGGCCCACGTGCCGGCCACCGTGCCGCCCGGCGTGCCATGTGCCGTGCCCGTGCCAAATCCCACAAATATGTTCACGGCACGGCCCACAGGTGGGCCGCCGTGCCGGCGACCGTGCCGCCCGCGTGCCGGCACGGCCCGTGCCCATGTTTACTCCGTACTAAAGTTTTACAAGGATATTATTAACATAATTTTACATTTTTCACAACAAATTACACCAATGCAATTTCACAAAGTCTTATATGTGGCTGGCCACACGGTGTGGCCAACCACTATAGGGGTTACTTTGCTAGTGTAATAGGGGTTACTTGATCAGTGTTAAAGAGGTTACTTCATAATTGTTATAGAGTTTCTTGGTCAGTGTTATAGGGGTTACTTGATTGGTATTAGGATTAACTGATCAATGTTATAGGAGTTACTTTAAGTGGTCAAACGGTGTGGCCGGCCGCACACAAGACGAGCTGATGCAATTTAGTCATAGTATGAGCTATTGGAGAAAATATGAGGGAGGTTAGTTATGCATTTGCAAGTGCAACAAATATTAAAATATTAAAAAGCACATGGGGGTGAGAGAAAGGAGGAGAGAGAAGGTTAAGTGGGGCCACTTTTTAAATGTATCGTTGAAAGCTTAGATAGTATCATTGACTATGTAGTGATACTATTTTTACACGTAGTGAGTAATACTAAATGAATATATAGTAACAGTGACACTACATACATAAATAGTACGGAGTAACACTGAAATGTTCAATGACACCATTTAATCAAAATTTTTGTATGTGGCTGGCCACACGGTGTAGCCAGCCACAATTTTTATTATTATTTTTTTAAAAAAAATACCACAACTCTTCTCTCTCCTCTTTTCTTATCTTCTTCTCCAAGTCAAACCACACATCACAAACAATTATATCTCTACTCTACCCATTTTCTTTCTCCTCTTTTCTTAGCTTCATCTACAAACCAAACCACACATCACCAACAACCATATCTCTACTCCACCCATATTCTCTCTCCTCTTGGCCAAATTGCTGCAATTAAAGCCCAAAATTGTAGGGTGTTACTGATTTGGTCAGGGGTTACTGGTTTGGTCAGGGGTATTTGTAGGGTGTTACTGGTTTGGTCAGGGGTTACATGTAAGGTGTTACTGGTTTGGTCAGGAGTTACTTGTAAGGTGTTACTGGTTTTGGTCAGGGGTTACTTGTAGGGTGTTATCGGTTTTGATCAAGGGTTACTTGTAGGGTGTTACTAGTTTAGTTAGGGGTTACTTGTAAGGTGTTATTAGTTTTTCTCAAGGGTTACTTGTAGGGTGTTACTGGTTTGGTATGAGGCTTACAAGCAACTCTTGAATTAGTGACAAGTAACCCTTGAATAAGTAATTCATACAAGTAACCTTTGAAGTAACTCATATAAGTAACTCATATAAGTAACTCATACAAGTAACCCTTGAATAAATAACTCATACAAGTAACCCCTAAAAAAAATAATACAGGTAACCCCTGAAAAAAATACAAGTAAGTAACTCTTGAAAAAAAAAATACAAGTAACCCCTGAATAAGCAATCCATGCAAGTAACCCCTGAAAAAAAAAATACATGTAACCTTTGAATAAATAATCCATACAAGTAACCCCTAAAAAAAATACAAGTAACCCCTGAATAATACAAGTAACCTCTGAATAAATAATCCATACAAGTAACCTTTGAATAAAAAATACAAGTAACCCCTGAATAATACAAGTAACCTCTGAATAAATAATCTATACAAGTAACCTCTGAAAAAAAAAAGTAACCCCTGAAAAAATAAATACAAGTAACCTCTGGAAAAAAAAAAACAAGTAACCCTGACAAAATCAATAACCCCATTATACGAGTAAACAATAACCCCGTTATACGTGCGTAATCCGTTATTTTTACTGACTTGGCAGCAGGCCACACGGTGTGACCTGCACCAAAAAAAGCTCTGTCTAGTGATACAATTGATCACCCGATAAGCATAAAATATTTAACATTGATAATAAATCACTAATGGTTCTACTTATTGAGACTAGATGTAAGCCCATATTTTAGTTATCGCAATCTATGGATTATTATGTATTTTTTGAAAAACTAAAATCACATTAGTTATTTAACTAAAAAAATCATTTTCTTACAAAAATTTGATTAATTTTAATTTACAATCTCATTCACGTATTGTATAATTAATTTAAAGTTGTAAATTAATACTTTAATTTAGATTTATGGATAAGATATCTAATATCATAATTTTTTTAAAAAAAAATAATTTAACTTATTTAAACTGCCAGTTGTGAATTTGACTTGTATAGAGATTAAATATTTTAATCCTAAATAAAATTGTGATTTTTTTATTTAAAAGATTTCATATACTTCTTAATTTCTTATGGATATAATCCATAGATAGAATTCCTAATAACATAAGATAATTTTTTTATTTCAAAAAGAAAAAATTTCACCTTGATTAGACACCCGGAGACAAAGTTATGAATTCCTGAAGTTTCAAGATAATATCTCTCAACCCGAATTTTAGTGTCGATATTGGGGAAGCGTTTGCTATGAGATCTAGCCTTAAAATAGCTATGGAAGCGGGCTTCAAGAAGTTTATCCTCGAAACTGATAACTTAAAGCTTTTCCACCATATGAAGAAGGGCTATATTTCTCCCTGTGCTTTTGGTCACTTGGTACGGGATATCCTATTGCTTGCTCGTAGCTGCCAAAGTTGTGATTTTTCTTTTGTTAGAAGATCGGGTAACACAGTTGTACATAGCTTAGCAAATTTAAGTTTTAATTTCAGTAATTTTCGTGCTTGGCTTGAAGAGTACCCTCATAAAATTCAGGGGGTTTATGTAATGATTATGAAACTTTGATGATTTAATAATATGCTATGCTGCGGTTTTGTCAAAAAAAAGATAATATCTCTCAACCCGAACATCGGGGAGCCATTCAAGCAAGCACCTGCTTAGTACTTCTTTGTTTTTATTATTATTACATGTATTTTAACTTTGAAATTCAAACCTTGTCCATTCATTTTACTTACATAATGATTGAATTTTTAATTCAAAATTGAAATGCAAATCCTTTTTACAGTGGCTAAAAATTTCTTTTTATATTAGCTAAAAATTGATAAATTTTCCATGTGGCGCTTTAAATTGTTGGAAAAATTCCCTAAGTGAAGCCAAAATGGCCAAACATTGGCATTTTAGGCCAAATTTACTATTCCAAAGTCTAAGAAACAACCCTCATATTACCCAATTGCAAACCTAGTTTGTAAAAAATTATTACAATATAAATACAAAATAATTTTAATAATAACACACCATCAATTTTAACATCCAATGTTTTTGATGAATTCAATTAAGCCCAATGTACCATTGAGAAAGCTTACGGAGCCTAATTGATCATTGAGAAAGCCTTAAGGCTTACTACTCTCTTCATTTTCTTTTGTTCCTCCAATATTTCCATTGAATAGAAATATAAGGGCTTACTACTTCCTCCTATATTTCCATTGAATAGAAATATAAGGGCTTACTACTTCCTTTTATTTCTTTTATTCCTCCTATATTTCCATTGAATAAAAATATAGGAGGGAGTCAGTGACGGATCTAGAAATTCTAAGCAGGAGTAGCATTTAGCCATTGAACAATAAGAGAAAAAAAGGGTAGAAATGAGTATTATACTGCATGTACACCTGTAAAAGTCCTTGAATGACTTTGAATCCGATCTACCTGTAGAAGGGCAAATGCTGACGGGAGGGAGCCAGGAGGAAGCTAATGAAGTAATGATGATTGGCGAACATGGAAATGACCTTTTTTAGTTGTTAATCTACTACATTATATTGATTATCAAGCATAACATTTTGCGTGAGTTGATCTATTGTTATCACACGATCCAAAACATGATTCACTACACAAAAGTAGATCGGGCATGGTGTTCATCCAGGTTTACCTTTCAGTATGTTTCGGGTGCTAATGCATCCCGGACTTGTGAACTTGAAACCTTGCACCCCAGCTGAATATAGTGTGAATAAAAATCATCAGAATTTTTGAAGTCAAATGGGTTTGAAACATTAGTCCGGGACTCCAGGTCCAGTTAGCACATAAAATTTCTTATTACACTGAGGTGATATTAAATATTGAAAGCATAATACATACCATAAAAAAATAAAATAATAATAAAAATAAAAATTCAAAGTATAATCTGACAAATCAACACAGTATTTACACCCATACAAAAACCAATGAAAACAAGAACCCATTATTACTCATGCTGTAGAGACATTTCTCTGAAGCCATACTAAGACTATTTCAACAAAAGCAGGCATCGATATAAGACTGGAACGGAAAGATTTAGTATGGCTCCAAGAAAATGCCTATACAGCAAGAGTTGTATAGACATTTTCACATTCAGCAACCAATGACAACAAAGTTACTAGCTCATTTTCACATTGCTTCTCAAAAGGACCCATAAGAAATAAGATAAATGAAAACAAAAACCCATCTCTTAGATGACCTAATAATGATACAGTAAGTATAATCAAACATGTATTCAACATGGAAACCGAAAGCCAAACACGGGGGAGATACCAAACTACCATTACTACTCTTTGCCCGTTGAATGACTTCTTTGAACACCAGGAGGGGCTGTTGGCATTGGGTAGCTAATATGGCATTGTGAAGCATCAGCAAACTGGGGGGCAACCACATATGGAATCTGCAATGAGTATAGATAGTAAATTTCCAATGAATGCTATGCCCGAGCACTGACCAGGAAAATGTTTCTTTGAGAACATTTCATAGGACAAAAAAATTGAGTAAAAGACAGAAATATGGGCAGGCCAAGGTGTGTGCAAGGAACTTTAAGAAGTATGAATCAAATCAATCACCTAAACTTTTAGGGAGAGGAAATAAAACGGGACAAGCCCAAGCTTAGGATAACTAGGGTTGGCCCTTAACTCAATTCAAGCTAGAAAATTTTAATATCAATTTCCATGTTTCAGAGGAAACTCGCAAGTCATTTAGCTCAGTTTATTTAAGTTGCACATTCGAGCAACATTCTCGAGCTGAACTATGCTCTGTTTTGCCCGGCTTTTTAGATTTCAAGCTGAGCTCAAACAAGCACCTATCCAATAAGTTTCCAACATTTGACGTCGTTCTGAAACAATGGTATTCTCAGAAATTTAGTCTTTCTAGCCAGAGTCTACTAATATTAATACCACAAAACCAACCTGAAGCAACATTAATCTGACATGTATTACTATACAAGTGACGAGTTTGTGTCCAAGCATAAGATTTAGCAAATTCACCATAATTTTGGATGTTTTTAGCCTAAAGTAAAGCTGTCATACGACACCCTACCTCACACAGTCACTCCTTTCTTTTAGTTTCTTTTCAAGTTCAACGTCTTTCTCCTCTCCTTTGATTTCTTTCTTCTCCTTATTCTTCTGCTGTTCACTCCTCTCCCTCTCCACTTTGATTTCTTCTACTGCTTCATCATCATATTGCCATCATCTTCTCGTAAGCAAGCGACTGTGTGTTTTGGGTTGTTTTTGTAAGATGTTGAACTTGAGATTTATTGCTTGAATTGGACAAGTTATATTGGCCTCATAAAAACTAAAATCATAGTTGACAAAACTTGATTTTTAATGCCCCAGATACTGTATGCATTAACATGATTCACAATATTAGAGGCTTTAAGTACACATTTTATGAGAATAAAGATAATCACAAGATTGTTACTTCGAATACTTATGTTGTAAACCAGATTGTGTTTTTTTTTTTGAAGACAACCAGATTGTGTCAGGAAATATAAAGCTGATTTTTTATGCCTTGATAATAGTTTAATCATGATTTTTGCAAGGTTTAGTGCTGTTAATGACATAGTATTTATTATTGTTATTACCAAAGCATTAAGTAAATAAATCCAAAGCTAAATTCCTAAAATATGGGGGCTGACCGCATGAACTAAAGTCTATCTCCTATGGTCATCCACAAAGATCCTCTTCCTCCATTCACTTCCATTCGGTCCCACTTTCTTCATGACATTTTAAACTCCTTCCATTTAAGTCATCATTTGCATTTTGGCCTCCCTGGGCCTCTTTGGAGATCTTCATCATCCCAATCCTCCACCTTCCTTGCCACTTTCTCCTTTATTGTGTCCTTTAATTTCCACAACTTCAATTTTCCTTCAAATAGCTACACTCATAATTATACCCCTCACGGTGTTCCCATATGATTTACATCATAATCAGATTATAACTTCCCACATCCATTGTTACTCCGACACTTTGCTCACTTGGATGTTGTGTCACTAGGATGTTGTGTGTCGACACGACACAATAATTGACAAAAGCTTATGTCAGTATGTTGAATAACAAGTGTCGATACTTGATATGTAGTTCACTGCCGACTCAATAATTTTCTTTGTAATGTCAGATCTTTGTTTAGATCAGTACTTATATCTAAAAAACACGTGAATTGCAAGACATCTGCCGACAATTACAAACGACAAACTAATTTATATCTTTTGTAGCTTGAGAGGTGCGATTCCATTGGTGAATTTTCCAGCATACGGTCCCGGTCACAAACATGGTGTTTAGATCAGTACTTATATCTTTTGTAGCTTGAGAGGTGCGATTCCATTGGTGAATTTTCCAGCATACGGCCCCGGTCACAAACATGGTGTTAGAATCCAACCTCCTTTCTATTTTATAAATGTTGGAAATGGTAATGCAATCGGATGAATTGCAAGGCCATGACGATCTGCACTTGTGGGAGATTAAACGATGTTCCGAGTACACTCGCGCCCGGTGGCGGGACCTCATATTGACGAGCCCAGCTGGGCGGCTCTAGCCTAGTTGCTTGCACGGGTAGAGAATCGAGATTGCCCGACTGGGCGTGACACCTCCTTTCTATTTTATAAATGCTGGAAATGGTAATGCAATCGGATGAATTGCAAGGCCATGACGATCCGCACTTGTAGGAGATTAAACGATGTTCCGAGTACACTCGCGCCCAGTCGAAGGAATTTGGCTGTAAAGGGTTTTCGCGCCCGGTGGCGGGACCTCATATTGACGAGCCCAGCTGGGCGGCTCTAGCCTAGTTGCTTCCACGGGTAGAGAATCGAGATTGCCCGACTGGGCGTGACACCTAGTCTGGGAGAGTCTCTCGTGCCTGGACGAGCGGCTGGTTGCTGACCGGGCCCGCCTATTTCTTGAGTCAATTTGTTTATTTGTCGCATATTTTTAAGATACATATAAGTACTAGTATTGCCTTCTTCTTTATGATTATTCATACGAAACCTAAACACAACCCTACCCTTTGAGATCCGAACAATTCTTAAGCAATTCCAACCTTAGAATTCAGGTAAACAGATTGCGAAGGTCATTATGTAAAACTTGGGGGGCGTGCCTCACCGGGAAACTTGTATCGGTGGTAGCGTATTTTGCTTCTTAGGCAATGGATAATTGGATACCAAACCACGACACAACCGAAGGAGGACATGTCTTTGGTTCGAGTGTGACGATTGAATTTGTTCAAGGGAAGTTCTTGATTTGTCTATAATAATTTTTGGAATCAACAGTTATTTTTTTTTTCCCCCAACAATATAGAAACAAAATAGTATCAATTTTATATACTATTGATTGCCATGAACTAGGATCATTTTCGTATCAATATGAGATTTTGTCTGGCACAAAAGAATGGAGCAGAGGTAAGTTCTTGATGGTCTAAGGGAATGTGATTAAAATCCCATGTGGTGTTTTATTCCAGTGACAAAGTCTCGGATAATGAGTCTATGCTATTGAGGTAACCCTCTAAATAATATGATTATTAGATGTCTTGCTAGACATGTTACTTGATATTAAGTTTAATGCTCTTAACAAGTTGAAACTTTCCTTTATAGAAAGTGATGCATTTAAAAAAACATAGGAAATATTTTTTAGTTTATTTTTAATATTTTTAATAAATACTAAGCGTTACTCACTTTCCATTTTCATTCGTTTTCTAAAATTCTACTCACTTTTACTTTGCTCCTATCAAGACGACCTTTTATTCATTTTTTTTATCACCGAAAAAATCACTAGTGGGACTAATCCCTTACTCTATATCTCTCTCCACTGTAAAGCAAAAGTAACCACATGTATATTCCCCATTTTCACTTTTCCTCGGTGTGTTGCTATATTAATCAAGTAGAAATCAAGAAAACGAAGGGAGTATTAGCTTGAAAGAAATTAAAATAAATAAAAACAAAAACACAAATTAAGTCAAATGAGAAAAGTACTTATAAAGTTCAATGAGAAATGTCAAAGGTTGACAACAGATTTAACTAAATGTAAAAGAAAAGGAAAAATCCATAAGTAAAGGGAATCACTTGTTTTTTCCCCACCTACCCTAAACCTTTCTTTTCTTTATTTTTTTCCAAAAAAAGATAATTGAAGCCTTGAAGATGTCAAAGAAAGAGTGATTGCTCTCCAACATTGATGAACACAAGCGAACATGAGGAATGTACCTATGATCTTGCATGTGTTTTTAAGCCCTATAACTATATCAAAATGCTTAAATTGCAAATCTAGGGTTTTCAATAATAGTTCGTCATCTCTCACAATCCGGGTTGCCAACTACTATGAATTGAGAATGGACGAAACAGGTACGTGGCTTGAGGCATAGTCCCGCATTCTCGGTTAATCTAGAACTCCAAAATAGTGCACACTATCGAGGAATCAAACTAATAAGTCATACTATGAAACTTTGGGAGTGAATGATAGAACAAAGGTTAAGGATGTGAACATCTCATTAATTTAATTTGGATTTATGCGATTGACCGTGGAGGCAATCCATCTTATGAGACAACTAATGGAGATCTATCGAGAAAAGAAGAAGGATTTACACATGATTTTAATTGATTTGAAGGCCTACGATAAGGTACAAGGGAGATTCTTTGTTGGGTTTTAACAAGAAAAGACATTTCGCGGTTATATGTTAACATCATTAAGGATATGTATAAGGGAGCTAGCACAAGTGTGCAAATCACTATAAAGAAAACCGAAGAGTTCCCTATTACAATTGGAGTTCATTGTTTTACACTTATCCCTTTTCTTTTTGCTATAGTCAAGAATGAATTAACAAGTTCAATTCGAAATGATATACCATGGTGCATGACTGCATGATGTTTGCTAACAATATTATGTTTATTGATAAGACAAAAGAAGGTGTGGAAAGTAAGTTGTAATCGTGTGGATGAACTTCAGAATCCCATGATTTGAAGGTGAGTAGAAATAAGACGGAATATTTGGAATGTAAGTTTAGCAGTGTGAGAAACAAGGAGACATGTGATCAACTTGGATTAGAAGGTTGTCCAAGGCTATGAGGTCTTAGGGATCTATTATTCAAAAGGATAGAGAATTGGATGAAGGTGTATCTTTTAGGAACAAGAATAGTAATTTATGTCAATAATTTTTGACATGCCTCTTAAGGTTTATAATCTAGGATTATTTGAGGTACTATTTATGTTTATACTCTAGGAGTCTAGGATTATTAGAGCATTAAATTATGTTCTTTATTCATACATTAACATTTAATTTTTTTTTATTTGCCTAATTGTTAAAGATTTAGCAAAATTCATGAGCATATTTGTATGATCAATCATGTCTCTTAATTTTAATCTCATGATTAGCCTTGTTTGATATTTCAGATTATTGATTTGTTCATGTCTCAAGTGCAAAGGTTTGGTACATGTGTAAAGGCTAAAAAGGGTATTATAGTATTGTTTGAACACTATGTGATAAACAAGATAAACAAAAACTGTACTTATGTCCAATTGTCAAAAATAAAGACTAAGATACTAACCACTAAAAGAGAAAGAGATTGGTAACCAATATTTATGAGAAGGTTCTTATAAAGTGTTGCACAAAGGAGGAATAGTTTTAGTATTACTTTCTTGCATCTTTTCACCCTTTAATTTGCACAAAGAGAAATCATACTTAATAATCGATTTTCCTAAGGCTAGCTAATGTTCATGAGTCAAGTTAATCAGGATTGGTTAAAAGGTATATTGGACTAGAGGTGGTCAAGGACACAGCGGCACTAGTTGCATTTGGCTTGGTAAAATCATGTGTAAGAATATTAACTCATATCTTTCTTTAGTCAAGCATACTAGTTAGACTTTTGCCTCACCATGTCTTAACCTATGATGGTTTTGTGTCAATCCGTGCTTTTACTTAAAAACACATGGGAGATTAGATTTTCAGTAATTAATTAGGACTTTAGGAGTTCAAATTGATTTAGTCATATGCAATAATAATAAAACAATAAAAGAATTGCAAAATTACTATTAAAGAGTTTTAGGATTTAATAAGGGGTAAGGGTACCTATTTTGGTCATAATGTTTCCACAATATATTTTCAACGTCAGTTATTATGAGTTTTTGGTTACTATATACTTCATCCGCTCCCTACTCGCAACATACCTTTTGGCATGCATTTTAAGAAAGGGGCTTGAGAGTGCAAACGAGCAAATTAATCGAAATTATTTAAACACAATTACTAGAAAAATTATTAGTTATTGGTGTTATAATTAAGAAATTTTTTTCAGAAACAACCTTTTAAAGGCCTATTTTGTCACAAACTACCTTAAATATTTTTTTTGCACTTGACCTAGATATAATTTTTTTGTCAAAAAAGTCCATATCCTACTTTTCGACGTTAACCACCTATTTTTTTGGTGTTGACCTCAACGTGCAGGGCACATGACTTCTTATTTTACTAATTACACGTGCCTTGCATGATAAGGTTAATTGAACAAATTTTTTTCGTGTTGATAAAGAAAACTTATACTACCTCCGTTTCATAAAATCTACAACAATATCCCAAAACGGAAACTACACATTGTGTGCAACAACAAAAAAAAAACTTTACTAATATAGTAAATTTTTTAGTGTAAATCTACTGTTATACCCTTACTATATTTACTTAACTTCAATAAACAACATATTAACTTTTTACCCAAATTAATTTATCCATACTTAAAACTCTAACCTACATCCTCTCTCTCCCCCTCACAACCACATCCACCACCAAAATCACCAAATTTTCTCTCTCCTCCCTCTCAACCACCACCAACAGCAACCTTATTCTCTCTTCTCTCATAACCACCGCACCACCAACACCACTCATATCAAGTCGGCGACCATTTTCCCTCGCAAGTTCGCCGCTACTGCCCCTCTTTTCCCCTTTTCAAATTTGCCGCCCCACTTCGCCCCTTTTCAAAGTCGCCGCCCCTCTTTTCCCCTTTTCAAAGTTGCCGCCCCTCTTAGCCCCTTTTCAAAGTCGCCGCCCCTCTTTTCCCCTTTTCAAAGTTCACCCCTTTTCAAAATCGAAATTAGATAGTGGTAAGTTGTGGTTTGAGATCTAAATTAGTGGTGGTTTGTTGGGGTTTCGGTTTGTCGAAGGTGGTAGGGTGGTTGTTTCAGTTCGTTGGGTGGGTTTGTTGGTGGTCAGCTGTCGGGTTGGTTGGGTGGGTTCTGGTCGGGTTGGTTGGTTGGGTGAGTTCGTTTGGGGGTAGTGAGAGTTGATGGGTGGCTGGTCAAGTTGGTTGTGGGGGTTTTGGGTGGTGGTTCAAGGTGATTGGTGGTAGTGGTGGGGTTTCTTGGGTGGTGGTTGTGGGGTTTTACATCTTAGTGGTGATGGGAGGGTGGGTTACAAGGTGGGTAGTGGTGGTATTTATTTTCTATCTCCTCTAATAATCACATGTCCTTTTTTACTAATCTTTGCTTAAGAAATTGTCTTGGGGAATGTGAAAGAGAGTTTGTTGCAGATTTTATGAAACGGAGGTAGTATTTAGAGTCTGACTCTTAAAACTCGTCATTCAGGCAACGTGAGTAACTAGGCAATGTGTAAGATCAGAAACCAAGGATATTTTATCTTGTTAAGTGTAGCCCAATATCATAATGAGCAAAGATAGTACCTGTGTTGCAATTCCATTATAAGATTGGTCTTCCATTCCCCGGCTCTTGGGGATGTCTTTGAAGCTAATGGATCATAGCTTGACTCACTTCCATTTAATTTATAAAGTTCAGCCCCAATTGCAGTATCAGCCTCATTGGTTTCAGATTTCACCTGCTGTAAGTATAAAGATGAAGCAAAGAAATTCAGCAATGTTAGATGATACAGCAGACAAAAAAAAAAAAAAAAAAAAAAAAAAAACCAGAAAACTAAGATTACCTGAAATATTTTTCCTAGTGTTTTTAGCCCTTTTGCTCGTGCACGAAGCTCCTCTTTTTTGGCATTGTTGTCTTGAAGTACCTGGATAAGCAAAAGACATATTTGTCAGAAATAATAGTCAACTTGACCCACATACTACCAAAGTATTTAATACATAATTGGATAGGTATATCAACCATCTGACAAACACGAGAAAGAGTCCCTTCGATGTCAACAACATTGAGCTTCCACAAAGAATCTATCATCACTTTCTTGTGAGATTCCATATAGCTTTCAAGCTCTTCCTCAGTGTAGTTACCATCTGCATTGAGATGTCGTTTCATGTCTTCTTGTAGCTGAAATAAAGCGACAGCACCTAAGATGACCAACCAAAAAAGGGAGGAGATTAATGGACACAAATAACCAAGAGGAGTCTCAGAAGTGAGCTACTAATTAAAGATGATGTCATAAGGAACAGTTATCGAATAATTTCAATTTTGCTCCAAATCATCCAAGAAATCTCCAGACAACTCTTTTTCTACACTCGATTTTGAAGGAATTGAAATTATTTAAACTGATGAAAAGGAAATTTTACAGGCATAAATTTATATTTGCTGACCAAATTTGATTTTTACAAATTAAAATTAATTAAGCCAACTTTTTCTATGATTTGTCAAGTAACACTGATTTGTATTCATCAAAACTTAAATTTTTACTGATTAAATCAAACTTTTTGAATGAGATAATTTTTTTAATGGAAAGGAACTTTCAGATTAGCTGTTTTTGCTGAATTAATTATTGATTTAAAATGAAGAAAACAGGGCCTCAGAAGGCAAACAACAAGAAGTATTTAACACCGGTTAAGAGTTCAAGTCTCGTACTGAAGTATGCTCTTCTCAATCCAAATTATATTGGACCACTTTGCAAAACTTAGCCCAGCCTTATTTTCTTTTTATTCCCTTTTTCCCATGGCCAAGGCATTCATTAACCATCTTTCTAACAAGGGAATCTCATTGATTCTATATATTTAAAAATTGGATCAATGAGTTGAGCATTTTTCCCCCTTCTTTTTACGACAAGATAAAAATACTATTATAGATACAAAACAGATAAATAGAGGAAAAGGCAGTTGATTCGGCAAAAAAATTGCCTATCTGGGTCTTGGCAGGCCGCTCGTGGGCCTCGAATTTGAGAGTGTATTTGCAAAATGGACCCAGAGTAGTGAGCCCGGGGCGGAGCCTTTGATGCCCATTTTAGATGCCTAATGATGTATAATTTGAGAGTATTTAGCGGAGAGAGAGTGGCGGATGGTCCTTTACCTTGGCCCCTAAGAAGAGTATATATGGTAGCATATGAGTATGCAATAATGGGCCCTTATTAGTAGAAACAAGAAACATGCTCTTTCTCCTTCTCTCTCTAGCTTTTTTTCTCAACTTGGGTGATCATCAGAGATTTTCCTTCTCGCTTTGGTGAGGGAACTGTGAGAGTCTCCTTGTGTGGGGATTAAGTTCGTTCTCATCAAATTGTTTTTATTTTCTTTTCTTTTTCTTGCAGGTATTGAAGCTAGCTCTAGTTTGTCTCTTGTGATCTTGCCTTTCTCATGGCCTCTATGGAAATAATTGATACCACCATGGAGAACCTTACAGTCGCTTCACTAGATGGTATGCCTGAAGACAACCCTATGGTGGTGGATACTAACACAACTGAAACCAGCCCTCCTTCTACGCCTTCCCCTCTATTGTTCCAAAACCGATTATGTCTTTTAGAGAAGCCGTCAAAGGTTCTTCACAGTGGTTCTCTGCGGCACGTGAAATAGTAGTTTCTTCTCTTTAGTGGGACGACGAGCCCATTTCCCTTCCTAACTCCAGCAACGCCGTCTCCTTCCCTAAGGAAACACTCACTAAGCTTTTAAGCCCATGGAAGCTAACGCTAATGGGCAAATGCCTAGGCATCTTGGTAAGGCCATCCTTTATCACCCAAAGGATAAGGGCAAAAAGGTACCTTGGAAGTCATTGACCTCGGAAGAGATGTTTATCTATTTAGGTTTTCAATCAACGATGACTATGACAGAGCCCTTCTTAAGGGGGGGGGGGATGCTTTGTTCTAGACCACTATCTTATGCTGACGAATTGGAAGCCGAACTTCAGACCGTCAATGAATCCTTTTGATAGAATGACGGTTTGGATAAGGTTTCCAGAGTTGTTGGTTGAATACTATGATTAAATTGCCTTCTTTGAAATTGCCAAAATACCCGAAAACCCTATCAGAGTTGCTTAATGCTACCGATCATCTAACTCGAGCTTAGTATGCCAGGGTTTGTATTGACATTGACCTCAAGGCACTATTAATCACCTCAGTCTGGGCTAGGTTAGCAACGGGTGGAAACAAATTGAATACGAAACATACATTCACTTTGTTGAACTGCGGAATTATTGGTCCTCAAAAGGAATATTGCAATGAGATAAAAAAAAGGTAAACAATCTCTAACCCACACTCCTATTCGGCCAACCCTTCTACCTCTACGCCCAATACCAACCTTCCCCACTTGGAAAGCTCTTTATCTTTTGAAAACCAAGGTTAACAAATGGGCTCCACCTCTTTACCCAAATTGTTAGATAAAAATATTCCTTAACCCCCCAAAACATATGGTCCATGGACCATTATCTCTAATAAAAGATTTCCCCAAAGAAAAATAACACTAAAAGTCATCAAATTCCAAAACCAAATTTAAATAATTAAATTAATCAAAAAAGACACTTTAAACCAAAAGCCTACAATAAAAAAGTTGTTTCCTAAGAAAACTCCTTCCAAGTTCTGACTTTTAATGGAGCTCCTTAAAAGATAACTCTATTCTCCAAGAATGTGAAGAGCCTTGCGTGCAATCTTCATTTATTGAAGCCACCACCCCACATAATTCTCGCCACTTGGCAGTGGAGGTGGAAGCACCAATCATTGCCATGGAAACCCACCCGAATTCTTCATCTTCCAGCTTTAAAACCTACAAAACTTCCCTCTTCTACTTCCACTGAAATTGATTCATCTCCAAACAAATTACACACAGATAAACAAACCTAAACCCAGAGAAAAAACCATGGAAATTTTTTTACCCAAAACACCGCCGAATTCTCGCCGTTAAACTCGAATCCAGAACTGACCCCCGCTTCAACCAGAGCACCAGCTCCGGTGACTCAATCCTTAGGAAACCGCCACCAAATGCCACCCTATCTTCACCCACGTTCAATAGCAACACCCTCTCAACCACCCCTACCTCCCTCATGAAAAATCTCAACGGCCCTCTTCCTGTCACTGCCACACCCCCCGAGCCGTCGGGATAGGAACCTCATTCAATCCGTAAACAATTACCCTCTTATCCTACCACCATTCCTCACAAATTTACCCACTCTCCCTCTATCATTAGATCCCATAGAGAAAAACGTCGAGTTATTGGAAAGCCTTAAGACTATGTTCCTGACTCAAAAGGGTAAAATTTAAGGGTAAAATTACCCTACTAGAATGGGTATGACCATATTGGTGGCGAACGTTCGAATGAAATACTTGCACAAAAATTTGGGAATGCGAATAACCCCATTGCCGAAGCCCAACTTTGAATGGAGTACTTACCAAAAAATGTGGGAATGAGTATAACCCCATTACCAAAGTAAGCTTCAAATGGAATAACTATCTAAAGATCTAGAAATGAGTATAAATAAAGTACTTACCCAAAAATTTGGGAATGAATATAACCCCATTACAGATTCCCACCTTCGAATGTAATACTTACCTAAAAATTTGGAATGAGTATAACCCCATTATCGAAGCCCGATTCGAATGGAATACTTACCTAAAATCTTAGGAAAGAGTATAATCCCATCTCGAAGATGTACTTACCCATCAAATATTTCGCACAGCTAAAATTTGTTTTCTCAAAATTTGAAATTCTTATAAAATATTAAAGTGCTGAAATTCGATTTTGAAAGAAAATTAAAATAAAACCTAATTCATATTTCAAATAGAATTAATTTGCGAGCTTACACCCATTTAAAATAGGCATATACCTCATGCTCGAGTTTTATTGCTTAAGGATTCTTGTATCTATGCATGTGCTTTTCTTTGAGCAAATTGATCTTTTCTTTTGTTTTTGGGCAATGTGAATTTTTTGAGGACAAGCATTTGACTAGCTTGGGGGGATTTGATACGTGGTTTATTTGATTACTTATTGTGTTGATTTAAACCCTATTTTGCAATCTTTTCCTCTCTGTCTAACCCGTTTTGTATATAAATGTTGTGCCTCAGCTTTTCCCCCTCTTTGTATGTGTTTGTCCATGATTTCCAGGTGTTATGACTCACTTTGACAAGCAATCAAAACTCAGAATGGAGTTCAAGGCGGTAGAGCAGGCGTGCACCTCTCGAGGAGCGGGCGCTCCATCGAAATTACAACTTTCTGCCCAAGTCCAAACCTGTGAGGAGCGGGCGTGCACCCTAGCTGGAGCGGGCGCTCCTAGCTGCTTTAATACATTCTGCCTTAAAGTGAAGCAGGGAGGAGCGGACGTGCACCCTCCTTGGAACGAGCGTTCCTCCCCAAGAATCTTGAATCTGCCATATGTTGAACAGGGGAGCGGGCGCTCCTCCTCAATTATTTGAATTTTGACTTCTTCCGAGGCAAGTAGGAGCGGGCGCGTAGCTGTTCGGAGCGGACGCTCTTAGCGCAGGCGCGCCTCATCTAGCTGGAAATCCGTTTTATTTTGACGGATTAACCTGTGTAATTTGGGGAGTATAAATACTTCCCCTTTAGTTCATTTGGAGACAAACAACAGTAGCATAGTTTTTAGCATCTCCTCTTAGTTTGAAACAATCTATTTTGATAATTTGGTTTAATTTTCCTCAAAAGAATCATTGTAATAGTGAGTTTCAAGGATTATTCTCAAAATTTGACACATTGTACTCAACATTTGAAGCTTCAATTAGTAATTTCTTCCACCTTCATCTATTTAACTTCTGATTTCATTTTGTACTTGCATGTCACTTGAATCTTTTTAGATCTTGATAATTTATTGTTGGATGATATTTTATTTATTAGTTAATCACTTTTCCCCGATTATTGAAATAGTTAGAACCCTAACCCTTGTTTACATGTTATTTAAGATGAGTTGTGAGTAGTCTTCCTTGCTAGGGGCTGGGTGAAGCTAACCTATTGGTTAGTTATGTAAATTTGGGAAAAGTAATGATATTTAAATTGCTTAGTCGGTGGTTGCTTAGTCGTTGGTTAGCCTACAACAGCATGTCACGTGCTGACTCTTTCCCTAAGTCCTTTGCATGCGTCCTACTAGAATTACCGTTGCAACTCTAGTCAAGGATCTCCAAAGTACCTTAGCTATGCTAAGTACGATGCTCAAAGTTAAGTGAGTGAAACTAAAAAATGGCTAAGTAAGCAAGCAAAAGTGAACAAGAGAGAATTCTTTAAGAATGCTTTGTATTGCTTGAGAGAACTCTACAAATGTGTGGATGGATGTACAAATGAGGGGAAGCAACCTATTTATAGTGCTCCCTAAGTCCTTTGCATGCGTCCTACTAGAATTACCCCTGCAACTCTAGTCAAGGATCTCCAAAGTACCTTAGCTATGCTAAGTACGATGCTCAAAGTTAAGTGAGTGAAACTAAAAAATGGCTAAGTAAGCAAGCAAAAGTGAACAAGAGAGAATTCTTTAAGAATGCTTTGTATTGCTTGAGAGAACTCTACAAATGTGTGGATGGATGTACAAATGAGGGGAAGCAGCCTATTTATAGTGCTCCCTAAGGCCTAGATGCTTCTTATCTAGAAAGTTCTAACCTCCTCAATTGGAGGGTTCTAGAACAAGGTCATTCTAGAGAATTCTACACTAATCCAATCTATATCTCTCTTGTACATAGTCCTAGAATAATCTAGACTACTCTAGTGTACAAAGAATATACAAGATTGCCCTAGAAGATTCTAGAAGCTTTCGGAAGGCTCACGAGCCTTGTAGTGCAATCTGGAACGTTGTGGGGGCCCATCTCCAATATCCGTCTCGACCATTATCTTCATTGGGCCTAAAAACGGTGGACCCCCAAGTTTCAGCCTATTTGGGCTTCATTTGGGCTCCCAAATGGCCCATATTATGTTACTATCATTTGGGTGTTCACTAGGACAACAACACTACATCAAAATGAAGCTCTTTAGGGGAGTGATGCTTCCTAGCACCCATGGGCAACTCCCTTGGCCCGATGTGTTGCCTAGTGCCAAAGTAAAATTGTTTGCTGGGTGGGTGTGGGACTTGAGTCGTGACATGCTCCCCCACCCAAGTCTTGACGACCTCGTCAAAAGCGTTCCTCGAACTCGGTGATCTTCCCATAGGTTTTCCTCTTTCTCCCATGATGCTTCGCTGTCTCGAAGACCCTTCTAACGAACAAGATACCCATTGTAGCTCGGTACGTCCCGTCTTCTTATGATCAAAAGATGTCACAACTGTCGCGGGCGCCCGTTGTGACTCGCCCCTCGAAAGGATCCTCCTCGTCGCCATGGTAGGGCATAAGTAAGCTTACATGGAACACCGGGTGTATTTTTAGCTTGGATGGCAACTCAAGCTTGTACCTCACCTTCCCGACCTTCCTTACGACCGGGAATGGTCCCTCGTACTTCTGCACAAGGCGGCTTTTGTGCACCTTGCGGAAGACCTTGTATTGAAGGGATAGCTATTTTACCATAACCAAGTCACCAACTCTGTGCTTGTCGGCCCATTTCTTCATTTTCTTTTCTACATTGTCCAAGTAGGCCCTTAAGAAGTTGAGATATCAAGCTGTTCATGCCACCTTCTAGCAAATTATATGCAGCGGGGCTACTTCCCGTGTAGCGTGATGCAACTCCTTGTGGAGTCGAGGGTTAGCCCCATGACTAAATCGAATGGACTTGTCGGTTGCCTCAGAACGCTGCAAATTGAAAGAGAATTGGCCAATGTCCATCAACTTAGCCCAATCTTGTTGGAAAGTGCCTATAGATAGAGCTCTAGCAAGGCATTCACCCTCTCCGTTTGCCCATCAGGTGAAAGCTTGTAGAGAAGTGTAGTCCAGACCCAAGGAGTTTGAATAGCTCCGTCCAAAACTTGGTCGTGAACCTTGGATCTCGATCACTAATAATGCTTTTTGGCAAGCCCCAATATTTCATGATATGCTTAAAAAAGAGCTTGGCGACTTGCTCAGCAGTACAATTCTTTGGTGCTGGTATGAAAGTCCCATCTTTTGAGAAGCGGTCCATTGCCACCATGATAGAACCGCACCCTTCAGACTTGGGCAGAGCTGAGATAAAGTCCGTGGAGACGCTCTCCAAGGATAGGCAAGGGTTACTTGCCGACACGCGTTGCTCGATCTTATCTTGCTAACATAAGATAAGTCAGTACATAAGCCTCCACATCATCACGCATATGTGGCCAATAATAAGTGTCTTCTAAGAGCACCAATGTGCGTTGAGCGTCATGTCACGACTCATGTCCCACACCCTTGATAGCGTCAATGCGGTCGTATGGGCAGTAGGTAGCAACTTGGGCCAAGGGAGATGCCCATGGGTGCTGGTAAGCACCTTCCCCCTAAAGAGCTTTATTTAGCACCCTTGCTGAAATACTAGTGAACACCGTATTGACAGTAACACAATAATAAGTCATTTGGGAGACCAAATGAAACCCAAATGAGCCCAAACTTGGTGGTTCACTGTTTTTGGACCCAAGGAACACGATGGTGCAGCCAGATTTTCAAGGAGAAGTTCGGAACATTCTAGAATGCGCTAGGAGTCTCGGGATGCGTCCGGAAGCTTCTAGAAGTTTCTAGGTTGCTCTTGTACATACTTGTAAACTTTAGAGTAGTGTAGAACACTCCGGAATTATGTACATATGAGTAGGAACTCAGATTGTATAGAAGGCTCTAGAAAAGCAAGCTTCTAGGACCCTTCAATTGAGGAGGTTAAAAGGATCTAGAGTAGAACATTCTAGTTACTTGGGAGGCCTATAAATAGGACCTTCCTCTCATTTTGCAATATATCCAAGCATTTTGTAAACACTCACTCTCAAGCAATACAAAGTTCTTTAACTTACTCTCTTGTGTTCTTACTACTTCTCACTTACTTAGCTTTCGTTGCCATACTTGCTAGAAGCAGTACTTAGGGTTAGCCTTGACTAGCAGCCTTTGGGAAGGAAGTTAGTGGGCGCACGTGTACACTACACAGGAAGTAGCCCCGCTGCATATGCTTGCTAGAGGGTGGCATGAACAGCTTGATAACTCAACTTCTCAAGGGCCTACTTGGACAATGCAGAAAAGAAGATGAAGAAATGGGACGACAAGCACATAAGGCCCCTAGAGTTCCAAGTTGGTGACTTGGTTATGGTAAAATTACTAACCCACCAATACAAGGTCTTCCGCAAGGTGCACAAAGGCCTTGTGCAGATGTACGAGGGATCATTCCCAGTCGTAAGGAAGGTCGGCAAGGTGAGATACAAGCTTGAGTTACCGCCCAAACTAAAAATACACCCGGTGTTCCATGTAAGCTTACCTAAGCCCTACCATGGCGACGAGGAGGATCCTAAGGGGCGAGTCACAACGGGCGCCCACGGCAGTTGTGACATCTTTTGATCAGGATGTCGAGGTGATTGAGGCAAAAAAGGCCATAAGAAGACGGGACGTACCAAGCTACAATGAGTATCTTGTCCGTTGGAAGGGTCTTCCGGATAGCGAAGCATCATGGGAGAAAGAGGAAAACCTATGGCAGTTCAAGGGCAAGATCACCGACTTCGAGGGACGGTCTTAACAAGGTCGTTAAGACTTGGATGGGAGAGCATGTCACGACTCAAGTCCCACACCCACCCAGCAAACAATGTTACTTAGGCACTAGGCAACACATCGGGCCAAGGGAGTTGCCCATGGGTGCTAGGAAGCATCACTCCCCTAAAGAGATTTATTTTGATATGGTGTTGTTTTCCTAGTGAACACCTAAATGACAGTAACACAATATGGGCCATTTAGGAGCCCAAATGAAGCCCAATCAGGCAGAAACTTGGGGGTCCACCGTTTTTAGGCCCAATGAAGATAATGGCCGAGACGGATATTGGAGATGGGCCCCCATAACGTTCCAGATTGCACTACAAGGTTCGTAAGTCTTCCGAAAGCTTCAAAAATCTTCTAGGACAATCTTGTATATTCTTTGTACACTAGAGTAGTCTAGATTATTCTAAGACCATGTACATAGAGAGATGTAGATTGGATTAGTGTAGAACTCTCTAGAATAACCTTGTTCTAGGACCCTCCAATTGAGGAGGTTAGAAATTTCTTAATAAGAAGCATCTAGGCTTTAGGGAGCACTATAAATAGGCAGTTTCCCCTCATTTGTACATCCATCCAAACATTTGTAAAGTTCTCTCAAGCAATACAAAGCATTCTTAAAGCATTCTCTCTTGTTCACTCTTGCTTGCTTACTTAGCCATTTTCTAGTATCACTCACTTAACTTTGAGCATCGTACTTAGCATAGCTAAGGTACTTTGGGGATCCTTAACTAGAGTTGCAGGGGTAATTCTAGTAGGACGCGTGCAAAGGACTTAGGGAAAGAGTCAGCACGTGACATGCTGTTGTAGGCTAACCACTGACTAAGCAACCACCTTCTTTCTCTCGCTCTCTGTTCTTTTGTTTTGTTAGATTTTTTCTGCATTTAAGTTATTTTATTTACATCTTTTTATTCATTGGTGTGATTATGTGGGTTTTATTTTTTCCCTATTTCCATTCCTATTGTAGGTTTCTGCTTTTTTTTCTTCTTATTTTCTTTTTTTTTTATCTAGATGTAATTTTAATCTTAATGTTGTTATGTTTTGAGTTTTGTGATTATTAAAAAAAAAAAACTTTTTATAGATTTATATTTTGTTGATTTTTTTGGCATATTTATCCATGTCGTACCCGTTTTTTGGAATTTTGGATTTTGCCACATTTCGTTCCTGTACCCGTTTTTAAACCCGTATCTGTTTTTATGCTACATAGCTAAGTACGATTGTAAGATCCTACAAACTTTCGGTGACGTGTTTTTGGATCATAAAATCCAAATCAGATTTCAATAACAATGAGGCCAGGGATAATTTTATTTATAACAGCTGCATATTCCACAAACATGTACGGTGTTTAAACATAATATAGCAAGTAGAAACAAGGCCATTTTTTACTTACCTGTTGCCGCTGTTACTTGAGATTTTATAACATGACCTTTGTTCCTGAACCATTCAGCAACAAAAGGTACACCAAGGTATATTGCCTTTTTTCCAAGCTCTTTAGCTGCCTGTCTTGAGTATATATAACCAATTGTGTTTAACATATCAACACCATATGCTGCAGAAAAAAGTCAAAGTTTGAATTAGAAAGATTTTAAAAAAAAAATAATAATTACAATTCAATATTTTATATAGTGGTTAGTTAAGAGAAGTAAATGTTAAGACTTTAGTTGCACAAAACTTCACATGTATCACGAATCTGTTATAATTATTTTGACTAAATTTGTCTGGTTTTTAGTTATTGGAAGTGACGTCCAATGGGAGCTACACTTTAAAGAAATATATTTCAAAACCGAATTTCATTTTGTACTGAATTGGACTAGACTTGGATTCAAACTTGACACAGAATTTACACCCCTATCAGTTTAGAAAGTTGGTAACATTATGGAAAGGCACACTGTGTATACATTTTTTTAAGGTGTAGACAACTAAAAAATACAGAATCATTGAAAAATAAAATTCAATTGATTTGGTATGAATCTGAAATTAACAAAAAAAATGACTACACACCTTTCAACCCTAGCCTAAATAGGCTTCAAATAAACTCAAAGCATGTAACAACCTCTATTAGGCCCACAAACCTCCAAACTCCATCAAATGGCCAAAGCCCGCCAAAAACCCTAAATCAAAGCCCTAGATGTAGAGAACTGCTTGTTACGACTTAAGTCCCACACCCTTCATAATGTCTAGTAGGCAACAATCTTGCCAAGAGAGATGCCCATGGGGTCAATAAGCACCTTCTCCCTATAGAACTTTATTTTTAAGGGTGTAAATGAACCAAGCCGATCAATAAACTATACATGTTCGGGCTTGGTTAAAGCTCGTTCATGTACGTTTATTTAATAAATGAGCCGAGCTTGAACAAATTTTAAAGCTAGTTTAATAAATGAGCTTGAACACGAACATAGATATGCTCGTTCATATAAGTTCATGAGCAACTCGTTTATTTATATTCATAAACTACTCGTTTATTTATGTTCATGAATTATTTATTTATTTATTTACAATTGTTAATTTAGTTATTAAATTTATAAGGAAAATTTGCAAATTACCACCCACAAAATATACCTATTTTGATATAACCACCCAAAAAAAAAATATTGCAAAATACCACCCACTAATTTAAAAAAAAACGCTCAGATTCCAACCCATTTAGAATTTCCGGTGGAATTTCCGTCTGTGGGCCCCACTTTTTTTATTTTTTTCCTTTTTTTTCTTCTATTTTACGGATTTCTCACTCTCTCTCCCCGATTTTTCACTCTTCTTCTTCCTACCTTCTTTCTTTCTTCTTCCCAACCACCACCACCACCATTGCTCCACCTTTTCTAGCAAATCACCTATCTCCTTTTCCAGCAAAACCGAAAACCACCCCTCCCCTTCCCCCCCAACCCCCTGAAAAACCATCCATTCCGTTCGCCCCGCCACTGCCTCCTTCGTTCCAAATCGCCACCACCGCACCAAATCGCCACCACCGTTCCACCTACAGCCTGCAATTGAGCCACCAAGCACCACAAAATCGCCACCAAATCCGTGCAAAACTGCCCATGTTAACCCACACACACCAAATCGCACCAAATTGCCACCAATCGCACCAAATCGCCACCACCGCACCAAATCGCCACCATTGTTCCAACTTTGGCCCGCAATTGAGCCACAAATCGCCACCACTTCCCAATTCAATAATACAGGTACCCTAATTGTTGAAATAACACAACTAATTCCCCAATTTTCCCCAATTCAAGGGCAACAAGAACCCTAATTAACTAATCCCCCATTTTTTCCCCAATTACAGTTCTTGTGGATGCTTCTGCAATTAGGGGAAGCGTTTTTTGTGAAATTTTGGGAAAATTTGAAGAAGAAGATGGTGTTTTACTATGGATAAGTGTTTAATGGGAAAAAACCGGGGAAGCAATGAGTTAAAAACCAAAAAAATAGCTGTTATTAGCCGTTGAGTGGGGTCCACAAACCGAAATTCCACCGGAAATTCTAAATGGGTGGCAATCTGAGCGTTTTTTTAAATTAGTGGGTGGTATTTTACAATATATTTTTTTTTGGTGGTTATATCAAAATAGGTATACTTTGTGGGTGGTAATTTGCAAATTTTCCAATTTATAATTAAGATTTAATTATTATGCTAATTTTGAAAATTTCAAATATCAAAAGTACAAAGCTCATTTATTGGAGAAGCTCGATTATTATTAAGTTAGTTCATGAAAGGCTCGTTAAATAAACGAGTTGTTCACGAACCGTTCGTGAACATATAGTGTACTAAATGAGCCGAGCAGAAATTTGAGCTCGCTTGAAAGCTCGGGATAGGCTCAGCAAAAGGTGCAGACGCTTGCTGAGCCATCGCCGTCGCCGAGTTCTTGCTCGAGTTCAAGGATTCGAAGAAGGATGGTGAAGGTGGTGGACACAAGGGAAAAGGCGGGGGAGCAAAAACCCACTGATCGAAGCAGTAGCAGCAACAATCAGTTCGAGAAGAAGGACAAGGATAAGGGCAAGGGCCAATCATTCGCTTCTTCGTCGAAAAAGAGCAAGCATCATGCTTACGGCATAAAAGCAGAGGGCCGCATTAGGCTAGGGAATGCCCACGTAGACAAAGGCACAAAGTGTGAGCGAAAAATTAGGGTAGTATGGGTATTTCAAGTAATAAAGACAGAGAAAAATGGGGGTGTTTTGGTAATTTCATACTATTCTAAAATGGAAAGATACTAAATGAGAACAACATTTTGGATCACCCGAAATAAAAAGTGAGCACTTACGGATGGAGTAGTAAGAGAGGAAAAAAAAAAGAGAAAAACTAAGAGACTAGGTAATTAAAGCGCACATAGTTTTAAAACTCTCAATGACATTTATATACTAGATACCAACCCATGAAACATTGAAGACTAATTTCAAAAGATGGGGAAAAAAATTGTGTGAGAAACAATTTGATCATAGGGGGCATGTTGGATGGAGTACTAAGAGAGAGGAAAAATATATATATATTAAAGAGAGAGAAAAACTAAGAGACTAGGTAATTAAAGCGCACATAGTTTTAAAACTCTTAATGACATTTATATACTAGATACCAACCCATGAAACATTGAAGCCTAATTTCAAAAGATGGGGAAAAAAAATTGTGTGAGAAACAATTTGATCATAGGGGGCATGCTGCTTAATGAACTTTCCCAAAACCAATATCCCTGGTTTTCACTTTACTAGTACATAAAAAAATTGTTTATGCAGATGCGTCATTGAAGATAAGAGTGATTGATGTGGTAAATGAATCTAAGGACAAAAAATGGATCAATGGAATAACGTGAAAGTGTACAAAACTTCCAGAAAAGGACAAACAAGAGAAAGTGTTAAGAACACTCAAAACAGTAGGTTATTTGTGCGTGTGAAACAGAAAACGTCAGATCCGTAACAGGGCCATAGGCCTTCAAATCTTGCCTTGACAATAACCCACACATATAAAGGAAATTAAAGGCTAAGCAGATGTTTATAAGCGGGTGTGAAGCCTTCTTTCTCTAAGCATTAATATCTGCAAAAGATAATCCTAGGCCTGAGGTCCGTTTTACTTATGCTAGGAGAAGGGCCAGGAATAATAGTGCTGTTGATGTGGGAAGCTGAGCTGGACAGAGTTAGTTATGCTTGAGGGCAGAAGAGTAATTCAGAATATAGTTTGTTATTTTGATTCCCTGTGTTAGCTGTAATAATTGAGTTTGTTAGGCTAATTTCTGATTATAAATATGGTTAAGGGATTGGGGGGAAGGTATCGAGAAAATATTGTTGAGTTGTTTGGGAGAGAGCCTTCCTCTCGAAAGAGGGCATTTGTGTTGTAATCTTTTCTGGAATTGCAATACAAAATATCTGGGTAGCTAAATACTTCTCTTGATTGCTTGAATCCTTCTCTGTTTTCATACCTAATTCTAGCAATATCCTGTCATATCACCACCTGTAAATTTGAAGAGAAGACAATCAAGAAATAGTACCTGCACTAGAAAGTCTAGAGACTTCAGCTTCAGCATTACTCTTAAAATTCTCTTTACTTCCATTCACATATTGGTTGAGTCGATCTTTTAATTTTTCTGCAAGTTTCTCTTCCCTTTCCTTTTGAATTACCTATTATAATCACAATTTGTGGACAAATTGAAAAATATTTTAAACTAAACTGGTAACATAAACAAACCCGCTACAAATATCGATCATCAATGCTAAAAACAATATGGCAATCACAATCAAAGCACGATCGCCTAACTACATCAGAGGCTATATCATTAATATATGTTCTAACAAAGATGTAAGTACAACTATGATTGCGATGGAAATTCAGCCAGAATGAGGCCCTATCCTACTGCAACCCAATTTAATGAAAAAGAAAATCTTATCCGAATCCAATATACAAAAAGTTAAATGTCGTATCTATTTACAAGATCCGACTCAAGTTGCAATTTAAATCGTGCATACTCCAACTCAATTCCAACAAATAATAAGTGTATGCAGATGATTTAAATAACACTCCAGAAATTCTTTTCTCTTAAAATTTCTATCTTGATAATATAGAATAAATTAACGATCAATAAAAGTTTCTCGCTTGAATTATGAAGCTTGGCTAGAGTTGTAAAATAAAGAACATTTTTTTTCAAAAGATAACACAATTTGAGGAAAAAAATCAAAAAAAAAAAAATCAAGAAAAAAATCAAACGATTTTGATCAAAGTGAGAAATGGGACATGGGCTAGATGTCCAATGTGAGAGGACCCAACCTCACCCAAGTCGTATCAGAGTTACTATTACTCAACTCAAAATCGGACAAAATCCAATCTGAATTTGACCTATTAACAATTCTTACAAATTGTATGCTTCCCCTATTTTTAATAAGTACAACATATGGATCTTTACGATTGTCAATGCACATCTTTGACCACTAATATCTCTAATTATTGTTTTGCAAAGCCCCACATGATTATATCTTTCCTAAATTAAAAATTACAAATGATGGTCGACACTTGTATCAATAGTGTAAAAATCAAATGTTGCAATAACTAAAAAGAAAAAGGAAGTATAAAGAATTAGTCTTTGAAAATCATTAAAGGTATTTAAAAGAAATGCTCTCCGTAATAATCGCAATATTTTCCTTTCCATCCGTTTCATAATAATCGCAACACTTTTTATTTGAAAGGACCAACGACTATTTTATTATTTCTCTCTCTTACCAACCCCACTGACACAATTTTTTTTTTATCTAACCAAGTAACAATTAAAAAAATGAAAAATGAAAAGAATAATTCCATCTTTGCTCAATCTCCCAAAAACAATCCTACCTTCAATTTATTCCAGAACAATCCACCTATGAACACCCATTTTCTTTTACGGAAAAATTAGAAAAAATAATCCCAACTTAGTCTAATTTATGTAGAATAATCCCAACTTTCGTTAATACTGGAATAATCCGAACTCTGGGGGATCTTCTTTTTCTTCAATCCCACATACCGGTTACCGGTTGAATGGTTTTTTTTTTTTGTTAAAATGACACGTGTCAAAAATTAATTGGTTTAAAAATATAAAAACAAAAAAAAAACCAAAATTAAAAAAGAAAAAACCACCCAACCAAAACCCCAACCACCCTAAAAAACCGGCAACCCGCCGGCCTAACCACCTCCCTCGTCGGTTAGCCGTCTTCCCCCCCCCCACTAGAGTCGCTGGTCCGACCACCATCCCCCTCCCCAAAACTCCCACGCCACCGGCCAAACGGCCCAAAACCACTAGCCCCACTCCCGAAAACAACCAGCTCCACTCTCGAAACATCCCTCTAAACCACCAACCCCACTCGAAAACCACTCTAAACCACCAACTCCACTCGAAAACCCCTCTAAACCACCTTGCCCACTCCCGAAAACCACCAAAAACCCCTTCCCCGCCATCGAAGGTTTTCGGGGTGGGGGGAAGAGTAATTGGGGTTTTTCGGAAGTGGGAAAGGCCTTGCTTTGGTGGTTGCGTGGGGGGGTTGCAGGGGATTTTGAGGAAGGGGGAAAATGGCAAGGGAAGAACGCAGTCCACCGAGGAAAGAACGGCGGTTGTCCGGCAATGGCGAGGCGGCAAACTTTCTGTGGTGGTGGAGGTTAGGGTGGAACGGTGCAGCTGGCTGGGTTTTTCTTTTCTTTTTTTCTTTTTTTTAAATTTTTTTTTACCAATTAGGACTTGACACGTGTCAAGTGACCTGATATTATAGGTCATTGACTTTGGTTGACCGGTTAGGGATTGAAGAAAAAGAATGACCCCCAAAGTTCGGATTATTCCAGAATAAATCAAAAGTTGGGATTATTCTAGCAAAATTGATGAAAGTTGGGATTATTATTTCTAATTTTTCCTTCTTTTAATGAACCTTGACCGGTTGGTAACCGATTTTCTTAGGTAGCTTGCCACATGTCAATGTCTAATTGGTCTATTTTATTAAAAATTCAAAAAAAAAAATATTTATCCCGCAAAGTCCCAACCCATCCCATCCTGGCAGCCAACTCCACTCCTTCCCTACCAGTCACGCCCTCACCTTCCCCGTTAGCCCCACCCCACCAAGTCACCAACACCCATGTCTTTCCCTTCTCGGCAGCCTTAGCTTAGCCCATCCACACCCCCGTCTTCCAATTTCCCAGCAGCCCCACCCCCACCTACACACCTATCACCGCCAACCCATCCACCGTCTCAACCCTATCACAACTACCATAATCACCACCAATAACAATCACCAACTCCCCATAACCACCACCCCACCATAACCCACCACCCCATTACAATTTTGCTTTGTTCTCTAACATTTTCTTCTTATTTTCCTTTTTTAATGCTTTGTATATTTGATCTATGGATTTGTTCACCATTCACCATATTCAACCCCAAAAAAATGTGGTTGCTCCTTTAAATCTCTTATTTTTGCTCTTTTCCTTAATTTATCTTTTCAAAGGTTTGTGGGATTTTGTTGTTGTCAGAGATGCATTTGATTGGACGGAGGAAACCTGTCATAGAAGCAGGAGGGGAAAAGGAAGGGGTGGGTGGGTGGTGGTGTTATTGGGGTGTTCGGCCCATGTTGGTGGTGTTGTTGGCGGCAATTTAGGGGTTATGGTTATGGTGTTGGCCATAGAAGTGGGTGGGGGAGGTGAGAGGATTGGGACACAGGAGAAAAAAATTTACATGTTTAACAGGTTGTAAGTCATTTAGCCTATTAAAAGAAAATAAGGGTCAAAGATGAGATTGTTTAGGAATAAATTGAACGTGGGACTGTTTTCGGTCTAGTAAAGGTGAAATTATTCATTTCCAATTTTCTTTTAAGATATCCCCACTAACTACTCTTTATATTATTAAATTCCTTCTTAGTCTTCACCCTATAATTTTCCTAAAACTTTGTGTCTCCCTATGGTGATTATTACGAAACAGATAAGTACTTTAGAAGAGAGTAGTAAATGTTCATTGTCTTCACTAAAAAAAAAAACATTTTTATGGTTATGGTTATACTTAAAATGAAATAAAGTTTAGGGAGCATAATTGAATTTTAAAGGCATTTATTTCTTAAAAAGTGGATTCTAAGGAGATTAGCTCCCACACGAAGTTCGGTTTTGAAAAACAACCCAAGGGCATGTTAAATATTGACACTAACATAACACGTCAAACAAAGACCTTTTAATTTTACATTTTAAAAGCACGAAAGTACAAAAAACAATATTCTTCTTTTAACAAAGCATAATTGTAGACCTTATTAATTACACCCTTATCTCCATCATATCCATCAACCGAACCTTTCCAACTCATTATGGTTGTTTTGACCTTTCCATCTTAAAAACTTCGTGCCTAAAGGGTTCCAAATCATTCAAATAAATAGTAATAGAATAATTTTAATATATATACTATCTCCGTTACTTATTGTTTGCAACGATTTGACATAAAGCTGAGAGGAAAAATGTCTAATCGTTGCAAATAATATGAAATGGAGGTAGTATATATATTTCAGTTCATAAGACACTAATTACATAGTGACATCCTGACGAATTGATATCCTCAACAAATTCAAAATCGTGATAATCAAAGGCAATCACATAGCATACATTTTACAAGTCAACTTAAATAATCGTACTAAGTAAAATATTTTGCTCCAACCCCCCTCATGTTTCAACTATAACAACATTTTTGCCATTTAAAGAAATTCTAGTCTATTGAAAGCAAAGGAAATTAACAAGATGTGTTACATATGATATCTAGTTTTTTTTTTTTTTAAAAAAATAAAATAAAATAAAATAAAAATCAGCACATCAACGTACTTAAACAAAAACACAGAACATACACATAGAAAGCATAGATTACACAGAATGTGAATGATACCTTCATCCTTTCTTGGAGCTTTCTAGTATCCAACTCTTCTCCATCGGTGAAGAAGTCCATTGAAGCCATCGATGCCATGGCAGGCTGGCCTATGTATTCTTCAAAAAGCTCACTTCCAAAAAGCATAGCAAAGATTGCTGCGGGATCTATAATTCCTTCACTAGAGTTGAGAATAAATATTATATTAAATAAACAGAGTTTTATGATTAAGAAAAAACAAAAATTATCAAGAGACAATTAGACAAAGCATATTTCAGTTTCAAATAGAAAAAAGTGATAAGACCAAACGTTAATCTTGTTGGACACAATGACAGACTTTCAGACTTTCCCCAGAGAAACCACCATATAAGCAACAAAGAATATTAGATCACAGAATTACTTTCCAACCAGAATGGTTCATCTTCCCTATCCAACCATAATAAACAAATAATAGCAAAGTATGATCTCCAAAGAACAATAATCCACCTTCCCCTTCTTTCTATAAAAGCTATTATAATCAATTTACAGGTACCCATTTTTTAACCTATATGTAGGATGAGTATCATAACAGATTATTCAGCATGGTTCTAACCCAAACCCTAAAGTGCACAATAGTTTATTTCAAAAAATTAGTCATCCGGGTACTCGGTAATGAACAACCCTAGTCAACTTTAAATGGATTTTATTCCCAAATTTCCTAATTCCAAACTAGAGACTGAAAACATAATACCTAGAGACCGCAAATCGGACCAGACAGAGTCCAGTCCAAACTTCTTAACATAAATTATACTTTCAACCGGATAGTCTCCATGTAAATGATACTTTCTCTGTTTTTATTTAGATGATTTAACATTCCTAAAAAGGAATTGTCACAATACTTGACCTATAACATATATGGAAAGTTTTTATTTAATAATCACCAACAATTTCCCCATCCTAATGAAGTATTCTCTATATAATCTAGCCAACTCTAAACCACCATCCCAATAACCATAAATCATATGTCATCTTACCAAGCCACCACCACCCTACCAAACCACCACCTAGCCACCACCAACCTCACTGAACCACCATCGAGCCACCCCCTAGGCCCTACCTTACTTAACCACCACCAAAACAACCACCCTAAACCTCAAAACCACCACCGAACCACCATTTCCTCGCCAAATGACCACCCCATCCACCCAACCACCAGGTCCACCACCATCACTATCTTCAATCTCAATTCTACTTTCTCTCTCCTCAACCAATAGATCCATAGACCACCGACCAACACTCCCAATCAAACCTCCAATTGTTCCATGAAAATCATATTCCTCCTTGTTAAACGATCACTTTACCCACCGAACAACCACCATAAATAGGCTGCCTTCACCCCACAACTCTAATTTCTCTCTCTTACCACTTTCACTGTCAACAATTCAAGTGTAAAAGGAAATCAGATCTGAAATTTGCACATGGTGGAAGTTTGATTTCTTAATTTTCTTTCTTCTTTCAACCATTCAAGCCCATTTTTATGGTTAGACAAGGATGGTGGTGGTTTGAATGAAAGTGGTAGGTTGCGACTGGTTAGATGTCGTGAAATGAGCACAGTGGGTGGTGGTTAATTGGTGGGACGAGGAGGTTGTTTGCAGAGTTGAGGAATTGGTGTCGGTGGTGGACTGGTGGTGGTTTGCAGTGCGAAATTGTGATTGGTGTCGGTGGTGGACTGGTGGTGGGTGTGGCGAGTGGTATAATGGGTTGTTTCTTTTGTTGGTTTAATTACTTAATTAATGTACTTTATTAATAAACAAGGGTTTAAATGTACCCAATAGACATTCTCTCTCCTCTTCCCTAAAAAGCATGCCCTCCGGTATGGGTCATCTAAATAGAATCGAAGGAAATATAACTTACTACATATATACGAAATTACCTATTCTAACGCAGCATACAATAAAGGGAATAACGATTTATTATAAAACTATTCCAATTTACTTTGCTAGCAACATTTAATCGCAAAAAAAAAAAAAAAAAAAAAAAAAACAACTTTGCCTACAACAACCCTGGGGAGACAAGTTAAGCAACTATGCGGAAGAATTACATAATATAGTGATTGTATGTTTTAAAATTTTAATTTAATGCTAGTTGTCAAACACTAGTCATACACAAATATGACTTTTTAATTTCCCTGGTTAATTCTATTACTAGCTCCATTTATTTTTATTTGAAACATAAATTTATTATGTCTCACACAAAATACTCCTTTGTTGCAAAAAAACAAAAACAGAGTTAGCATTAAATGCTAGGGTTAATTATATCACCAAGCAAACTTTGGGAAGTTGGGCTTTTAATTCCACTTTCAATATTAATTCTTACCTTAATGGTTATAGGTCACTTGGGACCATTTTGAGCGGATTGGGTATAAAGGTCGGATTATATAAATATAACCTAAAGGTGGGATTATTTTTAGCGGACGCCCAAAGGTGGTATTATTCCGAACAATTTTTCATTAAAAGTTTGGCAAGGACTCCAATCAAATATGCTAGTGTTTATAGAGCTTAGCAAAAAAATAAGTTACTGAATTTACTATATTTTTACATAGATTAATAGAAATGATTATAAAGTATTCTAGGTACCTTATGACCGGACCCGAGAAGCAAGAAAAACTATTTATAGGTAACATGATCAAATATTTTGGACTATGAAAGGACATCATTGTTAACCGAATTTGAACACCCTTACTACACCCCTACTACAGAGGAAGCAAGCAAAACTCTTTATAGGTAAAATGATTAGGTATTTTGGGCTACGTAAGGACATCATTGTAGAGATCAAGAGACCAAATTCACTCATTTGTTTAACATGTTTTTGGTTGCTCTTTGTAGCATCTTGGGATTTGAATTGAACTTTAACTTGGCATATCATCCACACAAAGGCACAAAAATATTTGAGGCTTATATGACTGCTTGGTAGAAGAATTGACTTTTGATCTATTGGATACAAGTCAGTTTTGTTATAACCTCCACAAAAGCTCAGCGACGAGAATGAGTGCCTTTAAGTTAGTAAAGAAAGTGGGTGTGTGAGATTATCCATGGAATTACACGACACTTCAAATTTACTTTTTAAAACCATATCGGAACAACACAGAGGTTATACAATCCGTCTCAAAAAAAAAAAAAAAATAAATAAAATAAAATCCCCAACTATCCATGCAAAAGCAATTTAATGCGGTAACATTAATAATGGGTCCTTTTGTCCATCCTTTGGACCCAAAGGTTGCCAATTGTACTCAATTAGTATCATAACCATACCCAGTGGCTACTCATGACGTGATTTTAAAAATCAGATGCACCTTTAGTCTTTTCGCAAAATTCAATCAATAAACTACCGCACCCTTTGTTTAGAATCTCAAAAGAACAAAATATTTAGGAGTAAAATGGCTGCACATCTTGGTGTTAATTTTAATCCGAATTTAGTACAACAATAATTTGTCCCTAATGCTAAATTTCAAGGGACGTCTTCCCTTGTCTAACATACATTATCATTCGATAAGATGCCTTTTCAATATTGTCTCACATCTCCCCCATAAGTTTGTTGCAAGCGATGTGCGGCAAGACAGCCCACATCCACACTTTGCTTTACGACCTCATCCACCGTCATAGCTTTCCTTTCCAACCCATTCATAGCTCAAAGGGACTCATTTCCAAGCATTTATAGAGGTTATAGCAAAATTGTGTTGTATCTAATATCCGTTTCACATTATTTGCAACTTTAGAATATTTTATATCTCACAAATAATACCACACAGTTGCATATAATACGAAACGGAGGTAGTAGCAAAGCAAATTCTATTGCGAAGCAGCACATATTGCCTCAAATATTCTTCCCGAATAGCACCACAACCGTTGCTTAGTGATTATTACTTTGTCAAAAACTTTTACGACTAATGGTATGCTTATGCTAGTCAAAAAGGGTGTGATATGTGGTGCGCTAATCGAAATGAAAAGAAGGATGAAATTTTTAAGTGGCCAATAAGACATTGATGTTCTATTTAAGGAGTTTGAAGGCTTTGTTACCACGATTACGCAAGGTGGACCATGCTATTAAATTAGAACTTCGTACAAGGCATATGGAGCCACAAGTTAAACTTCTCAAACAATTGAATGTGTTGTCGGATTCTAGTTACATTAAGAAATCTAAGGGTTCCTATCGTGCTACAAATTTATTTAAAAGAAGGTGGTTACAAAGAAGTCCAATAAACAACATCAAGGTGAAAAAAAAGTACTTAATTCCAAAGACGGACAATTTGCTTAATAGGCTGTTAAGGGCCTACTTATTTCATAAAGCTAGACTTTAATTATTGTCAAGTTAGAATCAAAGAGGACAATGAGCCTAAAATAACATGCGTTACACGTTATAAATTCCTTATACGACCGTTAAAGCTAACCAATGCCTTGGCAAAGTTCCATAATTTGATAAATAATATGTTTTACACATAATATATATATAATATATATATATATATAGGGGAGGGATCTGGTGAGAATAGGTTCATATGTGAGAATTCATACTTATATGAGAACTGATCTACAATTTAGAACACGTGAGTAAAAATTTAGAACATACGAGTAAAAAATTAGAACATGCGACTAAAATTTAAATTTAGAACATTTGAATAATAATTTAGAACATATGACTAATAATTTTGAACATGTATGTGAGTGATAATATAGAACATCTAATTCAAGAATTAGAACATGTGAGTAAAAATTTAAAAAATTTGCTTTATGAAATTTAGAACATATGATTTAAATTTAGAACATCTTATTTAAAATTTAGAACATGTGAATAAAAAACTTAGAACACTTGGTATAAAATATAGAAAATGGGAGTAAAAATATTGAACATATAATTTAAAAAATAGAACATGTGAGTAAAAATTGGAACATATGCTTTCGAATTTAGAATATATAACTAAAAATCTTAAAACACATGCACGTTTTAAAATTTAGAACATATAAGTTAAAATTTCGGAATAAGTCATTCGAAATTTATAACATCTAACTTAACTAATTTATGGTTTAGAACATGTGAGTATTAATTTAGAACATCTGATTTTAATTTAGAACACCAGGGAAAAAGTTTAGAACATCAGATTTAAAATTTAGAACATATGATTAAAAATTTAGAACATAAAAAGTGTTCTCACATAAGGAAAATTCTCATATAAGAAAAATTATCACGAGAGCCTCCCCCTATATATATATATATATATAAATTGCGTAGTGTATCTTGACAACATTGTAATATATTCAATGATGTTTGAAATAAATGATGTAAAACCTGCACTTCTAAGTTAAGAAAGTATATTTATTTGTTAAAAAAAAAAGATAAAATGTGAATTTGCAAAAATGGAAATTATGTTCCTTGGTCACAAACAATTCAAAATAACATACAATTCTTTTAGTTGAATAGAAGTTTCAGAATTGAAATAATGGAATTCAATTCTAATTCTTTGTTTGGGAAACATGAGAATTCAAAATAGGAAAATTTGTCAGGAACTACATGCTGCATAATAGGGGTATTTGGAAACAACAACCCACTAAAAATTTTTATCAAAAAAACTACCCTCTAAATTTAAAAAGTTGGAGTAGCACTACCCATTTGCCTTTTCCGGCGAGAACGCCGGCCCATGGGCCCACTTTTTCAATTTTTCTTTGAAAAGACACGATGCAATGACAAATTGGACTCTAATTCGTAACCCTAAGATAACCAATTTGAATTAAAAGCAACAAATTCAACCAATTTCAAATTATCCCCAATTTCTAAGAACCCTAATTTTTCTAATCGTTACACCCTAACATCAAAATTCATAATTAATGGATTAAAAGAGAAGAATTACCTATGAATTGCATACCCTACTTGTTTTCACTTCTTAAATTAGGAATTTTCAGAAGAAAAATTGAAAAAGTGGGCCCTACACGCCGGACTTTCTCGCCGGAAAATACAAATGGGTAGTGCTACTCTAACTTTTTAAATTTAGAGGGTAGTTTTTTTGATAAAGTTTTTTAGTAGGTAGTTGTTTCCAAATACCGCTATTAAGCATGTAGCTCCTGAAAATTTTTCCTTGAAAATACAACCATTGTTTAAATTATTTAGAACAATGTGACTGTTATACCCTAAAATTTTCTATTTTAAGGAGGGTAGATTGTAATACCCGAATATTTTATGATTTTATATAATATATTTTATTAAACAATAGTTTATTTTTATTTATTAAATAACTTTCCTAATCTCATATTTTTTATTTTAAAGTTCGAAAAGGTTTAAAACCCTATTTTATTTTAAATAGGACTCTCTATTTTTAAGCATATATAAACTATTTTAGCCCAAGTTTTTGATAAATAAACTTTTACAGCCATTTTGATATAAATTCATAGCTTTCTCTTAACTCCATTTTGTTCATGGGGATTATAGTAGCAGCCATATGTGCTATTAATTTTTTTAGATTCATGATCATCAATTGGTCAACTAATTACCTTTATTCCAAAAAATTTGAGTCATGCGCGGGGTGAATTGGTGATTGAGCAGTAGAATGTTTGGAGTAATCATGTCATGTGCAATTGCAATATTGCGTCCTACTATTAGATCGGAAATCACATGAACCTATTTGGAGATGTTTGTATCATTAGCATATGTAATCACACTACCTTAATTAATTTTTTTGACTTGTTTGTTTATAAATTGTTAGTATTAATTGTACTCCGTATTGTTATGTGTAAATTTTATAATTTGTGAATTATATATGATCATGATTTATACGTATATGATTAGTGTGTGGTATTATATGATTCTAATTGACGTATTATTTTTATGGTATTGATTGATTGTGTTATTTTTCTAGGGTTTTTAATGTTGTTGTTTTTATAGGGAGTATTGTTTTATCGAGGTTTTAGGGTTGTTAGTGCAGAGTATTATTTTTGGGTTGAGATTTGATTACATTTGGGTAACTAGTATGATTGCCCTATAAGAGTTGAGATGTACTACGATTGAATCGAGTTTGAATTATTATATTATCTGGGAACATGTGTCAATATTGAGATATTATAAATTAAATTGTGAATGGTTATTTGATTGATGTATGAGATCCAAAGGTTGAGATTATTATTTTGTTATTGGTTTGAGGCTCGACGTTATAGACCTTAGTCCTTGGCATATTGGTAATGAGATAATGATCATGAGTTAAGAATGAGGTACAATCTTTAATATTTATTTTTCTATGGTCCCCTACAGTGGGAATTGACCCGTATGTGGTCTGGTTCAAGGTGTTTTCTAGTTATTGGGAGTATTCAAGTTTTTATACTTGTTGGTTTTATTCGAATTACCCATGTCCAAGGCTAGGTATAGAACAACGAGCATGGCACACTTATTGGTTATGAGTTGAGTAAAGGTTCGTAGTATTATTCGAGGTTGAGTTTGACAAAGGTTATTTTCAGAGTACAATGTGTAATGTAGTTTCGAACTACATTGTTTAATTGATGTAATAATGTTAATTATTATATTATACTCTATATTTTGATATGTGGTGATTACTCAGTGCTGACGTGTGTGTTGTTTTATTGTGCTATTTGTATTTGCGGCCATGTCTTTTTCTTATGGTGGCCCTGCGACGATCTATTTTGGAATTTGTCCTTAATGGTGAGAGTCAAGATTTTCTAAGCAGGTTCATCAAGTGGTCGTAGCTAAAGGAGCTCAAGTGTTTCGATTAGTGTGATGTCATGAGTTTAGAAAGTTGTATAAATAGCTCACCTAGTTTATTGGGTTGTAATTATTGGGATTTTGTAAGCCTTAACACTCGACAGGTTGTTGAGTGTGGCGGTAATACCTCCGATTTAAGTGTATGCTTCCGCAATTTTATTTAAAGGTTGTCTATTTTTCCTTTATTTCTTATTTATTATTAGCTAGTAAATCGGGGGTGTTATTACATTCACCGACTAGGTTAAATTTGTTTATGAGTGGTAATGGAAAGAGAAATAAAGTTACATGTGATGAAGAGAGAGGAAGAAAAAGGACAAGTAAAAAAGGAAAGAAAACATTTGCGGTAAATAATTTGTAATATCCATTTATGGTAAATATTGCAAATAAATTGAAATGGAGGTAATGTATAATTTCAAATTCAACTTAGTAATTAATTATGTTGTAATAATGCTCGATCTTTTTTTGAAAGATGTCCCAAATGACACTAATTTTCATTTATTAAAGCTATATTGCATCTACCATTGATGATTAACGACAAAACTTCAATTAATTTGGTAAAGATGATAATAATATTAAAAAAATTATTACAAAAAAAAAGCTACTAAAATTCGCTTAAATAGACCAAAATAGACTTTTCCTTACCAATTTATTAAGAAAACACATAGAAGAAGAGCAATAAATTAGAAGATTAGTGAAATCAATTCGGCGACTTTAAGTTAATAGAGGCATACTTAAAAAAATTAAAGCGATTTTGATACCATTACTTAAGATTGAAAAACAAAATGAGAAGAAAATTGATAAAGATTAAAAAAAAAGACATACCGCTTTGTTATTTCTTTTATTTCCTTTCCTTTTCTTTATTTCTATCTTTAGTTACTTAATTTTTTTAAATGTGGAGGAACATTAATAACCAACAAATCCATTATCATTAGCTTCCCTTAGAATATTACCTGCTAAAAAATTCATGCATGAAAATAAAAAGCGTAGGCAGAGTAAGAACAATGCAATGCAACTAATCATCAAAATGAAGAAAGAGTAAAGAGACTAACGCAGAAATTCCAGACTTTCCGTATGCATCATAAGCTTGGCGTTGTGTTGGGTCACTCAATACCTGGTAAGCCTCTCCCAAAACCTGAATCAAAAAAACTTATCAAGCAGTCCATGTCTAAAGTAATTACATAATTAAAATTGAAAAGAATAATCCCTCCTTTCATCGATCTGCTTGAAACGAGCCTAACTTCGCATAACCAGGGAACCCACCTTTTACTACTATTTTATCAAAACAAGCCTTTGACCGGTATTTTTATTTCGTAATCGGTTTTAGAAGGTGACTTGCCACGTGTCACCTTCTAATAGGTCTTATTTTTTAAAATACCTAAAAAAGACCAAAATAATTTTTTGAAAAATTAGAAAAAAAAAGACACATCCCCACCCCTGTCCCTTCCAACGACCACCACATTCCCCGCCCCTGCGCCACCCTTGCCTGAACGACCATCCCCTACCTCGCCCCCGCCCCACACATCCCCATCCCCGTCCCTTCCAACGACCACCACATTCCTCGCCCCTGCGCCACCCTTGCCTGAACGACCATCCCCTACCTCGCCCCCGCGGACCGATGCCACTCTGCCATCCCTGAACGACTTAGGTGCTAAACTTGTTGCCTCTGTTTCTTGGTTTTTAACGCTTTTTCTCTCTCCTCCTTTTTGTTCGATACCACTCACCCTTTTGTACAATTGAATTATGTAGAATTGGTTGAAAATATGTGAAAATGTTTGATCAAGTCATGAATATTTTTTGTTTGTGGTGATCGAACAAAATAGCCCAAAAAAAAAATGAAAATTGAGTTTTTTTTTTTAAAATTTATATATATATGTAATTTTGATGTTTAATATGATGATTTTCATATGTTGATCTGAAGAGGACCAAGTTAGGCACGACTGAGCACCATGACGAGGTAGCTAAAAGTCGTCATGATCCAGAGGGGTTTCGATTTGGCGCGGTGGATTTCGGTGTGTCTGGGTGGGGTTTCGGTCCGGCACGGTGGTTTCGTTGCGGCTGGGTGGGGTTTCCAGAGTTTCTGGGTGGGTTACCGGCGTGAGGATGGGGTTAAGGGTGCCAGTGAAAGTGTTCATGATGTGGTGGTTAGGGTGAAAGAAGTCTTGATTAATGTCGCCATTCTTTTGCACGATTGACCTAAGATATTCAATCTTTGCTCCTTAGAAGCCCAACAATCTGTGTCATTAAGTAACACTAGTCTTATGGCATAGAATTTCCCTTTAACTATAAAGGAATGCTTCGATCACATAACAATCCTGTGGCCGCTCCCTATTTAAGCCACCCCGACTCCTTGGGTTACGTTTTGATTAATGTCACCATTCTTTTACATGATTGACCCAATATATTTAAAACACTCACTCATGGTCAAATCCTTTTCGCCCAAACTCACTACATCATCGTTTATCCCCTAATTCGTACCAAAGCGGCATATCAAATATGCAGTCTTACTCCGAATCAGCTTAAACCCTCTAAATTCAACCTTTACCTCCATTGCTCCAATATGGCATTGACCCCACCTTTAGTTTTATCCATCAAAACGATATAATCCACAAACAACAACATCACGGAACCTCATCTTGAATTGGCTAGGTTACTTCACCTAGAGCCATTGCTAATAGAAAAAGGCTTCATACTATTATAAAAAATGATGTTAAAAGGAATATTGCACACCTCTTTGAATAGGTTTTCCTTAATGTTGTACCCCAGTTGCCTAATTCCTAACTACATATTTTTCTTGTCTTACCTCTCTCTCTCTCTCTCTCACACACACACACACAACAAGAGGAGTCAGCTCTTTATGAGGCTTTCAACCTTTTGAGCCAGTATTGTAGGTGTGAGGCACCTTCATGGAAAAAAGGATAATTGCCTTCCAATTTCCTCTTTGTTTCTCCTCTATCCTACAATGTTTCATTAGTTTCGAGAACCACACTATGAGTAGTAATTCATACATAATGATTGATAGTCTAGTTGAAGCCACAACAATCTTAACTCTAATCAATTTGTTCCATATCTTCAACTTCCTTCATTCCTAAAAGTTTTCCCTATTTTGACTGTACATGTTTATCACTACATTACTTTGACCATACATATCTATAATAGCATATTCATAAATAAAAAAACACAAACAATTGAATATGAATAGTCTACTCATTTATATGAATCTATTTATTAGAAAAATTAAAGGTAACATGGGAACTTGTGTGCCCTTTAATTTTTCTAATTTAAATTTTAAAAAAATAAATAAATATGAAAGTTATCTTTAAAAAAAATGAATTTCATAAAAAAAATATTTATGAAAAAAAAAAAGTATATAAGATTGACTCCATGAAAACAATACATATAACATGTTCACTAATGCCAAATCACATTTAAAAAAAAAAAATATATTCAAATACTAACACTAGCCACGGGTTTGTAACAAACCTTAATCAATCATGAAAAAATTCCTAATCTGGTCCAAATTGAAATATTAACTGCTTATATTCTTGTCAAAAGTATGATGATATAAAGACCATGGGCCCATATAATATTTTCCTTTGTACAAGGATAACAGCTTTAAAATACCATTAGGCTATTCAAATTAGATGTACTTGCCTGAAACTTCTGAGCTGCAAGGGGGTCGTTTGGATTTCTATCTGGATGAACTTGTCGCGCCTACAAGCACCACAGACACGTTATTACAAAGAAAAATTAATTTTAAATTAAAAAAAAAGTACAATTTCTCTTGCCCAAGTATTTTAACAATTGCAATTTATAATTAGAGCCTATCATGCAAGGACTTTAGTTTATCTTTATTTATCCAAGGATTTTAGGTGTTAACAAGCAGTGTTAAGAATCCGATAAAATCTGTTCCTTTACCAAATTTGTCAGTCCATGTGGATGAAGAAGAAGAAAAAAAGGACTTCTGACTGCATAGCATTGTGACTTCCTGCTTTCAAGCTGTCCTTTATGAATTGTGAGGTTTTTATACAGTTGAAAGCATGCAATTCATTTGGAGTATCATTTCTCTCAGCTTTTTATAATTTACAGATACAAATTGGCTCATGAGTAAGCCTATAATGCTTAGATTTAGGTACAAATGTGGCATTTTTTCGTGATTCATTCGGATCATCTCTCCCCCTCTTATCTCTCTCTCTCTCTCCCATGATTCAAATGAAGCCAGGTCATGTTACATTTAGGTACCCAAATTATTACAAGCCTTTCTTACACCCTCATCACAAATACAAAATGCTCAGTTCTTAGTCTGAAACGATAAGATATCAAACAGAACAATATTTATGATTTCAGTGACACTGCATGAGTTATAAACAAATAATGCTAATATACATAAATGGAAACACATGATCAATTAAATCAAACTTATATTAATTTACCTAAATCAGAAACCTTAAACTTAGGGTAAAACAAAATAGAAGCAAATCAAAATCAAAGTTAAAAACAAAAGCAAGCAAAAGTGATTGACGACTAAATCGAGAATTATTAAAAATTACCTTATTGTAATAGGCTTTCTTAATCTGGGCTTCAGTAGCAGTAGGGCTAACCTCAAGAACATCATAAAATTCGGTCTCCTTCACCATGCTTTTTCAATTCTAAGACAATTTGATCAATAATCTCACTAATTTCAATCAGATTTATCAGGAACAACAACTAATTTTGGGGTTTTCTGAGTGCAATTGAATTCAGCTGAAACTAAAACTACTTTTTATCTCTCCTCTTTTATTTTTCCAAAAGATGTGATCGATTGATCGTTCGTCGAGTTCAGAGGCTTAGGATAGATACGAGACAGTTTGTTCTTTGTTGCCACCACATTTTTATTTGCCCAAGTCTCTCTCGCTCTTTTCCTCCTTATTACACTCTTTTTACTCGTCTGTCTCATAAGTCATACGATATACGCGCTGCTGTTTGACCCCTTCTTTTTTGTCAAACATTAGTTATTAATTCTAGGGTTGCCCATATGCTATATTTACTCAAATTTGGTTTAATCCTGTTTTTAGCGTTTTATTTTAGTAGGCTTTAGCTAAATCTAATTCTTGATCGTTTGTGTAAAAAATAAAAAATTTGATGGTCTCTTTGGTTTTTTTTTCCATTTATTGTTTGATTTTTGATTTCATTATTGCTCACATCGAGTGATACCAAGTGATTTTAAGGCTCCACCCCATGCCTAGCTGGAAAATTGATTTTACTGTTGATTTGTGTGGCAACGCAGCTCCACCCATTTTAAATAAATGTATAAAAAACCGATTGAAATAGATGGAGGACAAATGATGGATGAAGCGGAGGGAATGAATCAAGTTAAATTTGAGTAGAGCTTTAAATTACTCGTCACCTGATCCATTACCATCTGACTCATCATCCATCCGTTCAACAGTTTAACAATGTTTAAGAGCAAAATAGTTGCATCTCTTAATTTTCTTTGGTTCTTCTCTACCGACTCTACTCTCAAACTGTAATATCAAAGTGTATAAATCGCAATGACCAATGTTATTAAAATCGTGATTTGAATCGTAGAATTGTACAATTTTATGATCCCAATTCACACAAACAATTTAAAATCGTTGGTAGATTCTTTCCTCGGTAAAATTGCTCATAGAATCATTGGAATGGGACTAATTCTTTGATTCTACACCTATTCTAACAATTTCGTTACTGTAAATAGTTTCATTTTGTGAATCGCTAAACATCGCCCGCAAATTACCATATAAAGCCCACAAATATGACTTGGTGTGACCATTATGCCCATTTTTTAAAATTGAAATAATCTCGGTTTAAAAAATGTGGAGCCGTACTGGCTCGCCGGGGGAGACCGAAGTGCAGGCCGGAGATGCGGGGGACGCCGGAGGTACGTCGTCGTCGACGGAAAACGAGGTAAGTCACCGTTAAAATTCACGGTTTACCGTCGGAGTGGCTCCGGCGCCTAGGATGGACGCCCAAACCGTAGCCTGGACGTCCAAGCCAGACGCCAGAACCACCAGAGTGGCGTCCAGCCCAGACCACCAGACTGGCGTCCTGGCCAGGCGCCACTCTACTGGCTGAGGCGGCCCTGCCAGGCGCCAGTCCAGTGGTTGTGGCAGCCCTGGCAGACGCCACCCTATTATATTTTTTTTTTCTTTTTTGATTTTGTTGTTGTTTTTTATTTATTTATTTTTTTAAAAAAAAAATCGAAAATGATTTTTTAAAAAAATTTGAAATGGGTTTTTTTTAAATTAATTTTGAAAATTCGAAATAGGTTTTTTTAAAATGAAGTTTGAAAATTCGAAATGGTATATTTTTAAATTTAGTTTGAAAATTCGAATTGGGTTTTTATAAAAAATTAAGTTTGATTATACATAATTATGCTTTTTTTTGTGTTAATTCTGTGTAAATATAGAAATTAAATGTATTATCCGTTAAATGTATTTATTGTAATATATAATTGATGCAGGATTATGGTGGAGACGGAAATGATTACAGTGGGATATTTGGACATGATGGTCCATTCGAAGAAGCTCAACAGGCGATTGATTGGGCAAAACAGGTTGCAATTGCAGCTGGATTTTGCTTGGTAGTAGTAACTCATAAATCTCAACGGGATGGTAGAATGGATCGCATTTTGAGATGTGACCGTTATCGCAAAAGAGAAGAAAGAGATTTTTGTACAGCCACTCGGTTTGATACAAAGCGGAAAGGTTGTGGGTGTGAGTTCAGAGTAAAGGTTCGACAACTACGGAGTCGTGACGGTTGGGAAGTGATTGGTTACTCTAAATGGGGGTATCACAACCATGAGATGATAGTATATGAAGAGGGTCATCGACAGCTGAGCGGTGTCCTGCTGCGAAACTAGTTGTGAAAGAAATGAGTGATGCTCAAGTCAAGCCTGCTAAAATATTAGCATCTGTGTTAGAGAAATTTCCAGAAGACCATCCAAACCGAAGACACATCTACAACGTCAGACAACAACTCAGGTTTGAACGGTCAAAGAAAAGGAACCCTATACAGCAGCTGCTACAAGGCACAATCACGTGGTTACCTGTTCTGGTTTGATTCTGATGAAGATACAGCGGAGGTGACTCATCTTTTCCTTGTGCATCCTGATTGTGCTGATATGATCAAGTCTTGGCCATTTGTGATTTTGATCGACTCAACGTACAAGACAAACAAGTACAAGTTCCCACTGGTTGAGATCAGGGGATGACTCCAACGAACCAGAACTTTCCGATTGGTCATGCAATCATCAAGGATGAGACGGCTCCAAGTTATTATTGGGTGTTGGAGAAGCTGAGAAACTACATCGGGCCTAATGTTCATCCAGCAGCCATCGTCAGCGACTGTGAGGGAGGTCTCTTTGCCCCCATAGCAGAGCTGTTTCCAGAATCGAACCACTTATTGTGCACATGGCACATCAACAACTGCGTGAAAGTGAAAGCCTACAACCTTTTCAACAAGAATTTGGAAATGGCAGAGAGATTGGTGAATGGTAAGTAGCGGAAGATCCTACAGGCTACCACAGAGGAAGCGTATGAGCGAGCATTGGCTAACTTCAGGGATTCGTACCAGTGGTGTCCGGCACTGGTGGACTATGTGATGCAGCAATGGGTCCCTCACAGGGAAAAGTTTGTCAAATATTGGACAAACCAGGTACTTCATTTCGGGAACACTACAACATGTAGAGTTGAGAGCGCTCATAGAGCTACCAAGGACTGGATTGATTCATCGACCGCTGCTTTGGATACACTGTTCGATAGACTTAACAAGTCAATTGAAACTCAGAAGAACGGCATCAGGAACTCTCTAGAGGACTCCAGACGACGACATGGTACGATGTATAGCCATTTTATACTTAAGATTCTCCATGGTCGTGTGTCGCACTACTACTTGGGGTTGATTCTCACTGAGCTGAACAGGATGAGGGACTTGGCTGACGAAGTGTATGCTCGGTGTGGGTGTGCTATTTCAGTAACTCATGGATTACCTTGCGCATGCACCATTTACCGCGTTATTACAGAAGAAAGGGCGTCGTTACATGTTGATCAGGTCCATTCATTCTGGAGGACGCTTGTTATTGGTGAGCATGCAGACACTCAAACGGCCGACCGTGAACAGGAGGAGTTGGAGCAGTTTCGTTCGATGTACGACCGAGTGTCCTCCAGCCATCCTTCTATTATTCGTGACGCTACTCATGTACTTCATGACATGTTCCACACGTCTACCTTAGATTATGAGGAACCCGAAGGAGTTGAGCGTCCTCGAGGTCGACAACGGCGGAACAGGAGTGCGTTTGAGTATATCCGTGGTCTTGGTCGTGGTCGTGCTCGTGGTCGGACATCGTCATCTAGTCGTAGTCAATCTTCATCGTCTGTGAATATGCCCTTGAGAACTGGTACGTTTTGGTTGTTTACATTGCACATAGTTTTAAAGTGTTACTCCTGCCTTCTTAACTGTCTATAATTATATGGTGAATAGGAAGAAACGATGTTGATCAGTTTCCGTATAAGGAAAGGATACCTGCGATCATCATGCCGTACTTGGAAGGGTGGAATGATGTAGTCGGAGATGGTAACTGCGGATTCCGGGTCGTGGCTGATGTTTTTCAAATGGGCGAAGACAACTACGGTTTGGTGCGTCAGTTGATGTACAGCGAAATTGCCTCTAACCGAAATGTTTATCGTCATGTGTACCAGGATGACTTGGATGGCACTCTGCGGCGTATCCGGTGGGGAGGTGGACCTTGCGGCCAAAATCATTATTTTGACGCGCCCCTAGATCTGTTTGCCGTTGCAAACATTTACAAATGCGCAGTCATGCATTTCGGCCTGGGAGTGCATAGTCAAGCTTATTATCCTTGTACCACGGTTCTCCCTTGGCGGTCGCGTGAGACTGTCACCACACCGGTCAGAGAGCTAGTTATGCGTTTCTTGGGTCGTCATACAGACATTTCATCCGACTAGACATGTCATCCGATTTTCCAGTGCCACCGATTATACCTCGGTGGTACAACATTCGCACAGCGAGCGTAGAGGGTTGGGATGCGCTATATCATGACCGGATCCACGAATGGAACACCCTAGCTGCATTTTAGTTTTTCATGTTTACATTCTTCCCATGTAATCTTATTTGTACGTTGCTCTTTTAATGAGAACATTAATCTTTTATATTGTATTGCTTACTGCATTCTATATGTTGCATGGGTAAGTTGCGCGGATCCACGAACGGTTATATCAAAATTTAAAAACAGCAATGATAATATGTTTAAGTTGGAAGCTAAAAGAACAATCTAAAATGTTACAAACTTACAACATAATGTCCAATTTAATAAATTAAAACGATAATATTTAAAGTGCTCTATAAATAAAATGACAAAACCATCAGTAATCCCTCCTCGACGACGACTCCCACTGCGCAAGGGTCTGTTCCAGACTATCAACAACAGCTCTCACTGTTGCACTCATGCTGTCCTTCTCAAGAGAGAGTTTATGTACGTCCTGCATTATCTTTCCCATCCACTGCATACAACAAAAAACAAAAGATGAAATACAATAACAACATATAAAACTTAATTAAAAGACAACGATAAATATAATATGAGACATACCGCTTCCATGGCAGTAGGCGGTGGCACATAATCATCATCGATGTGGTCGAGATCTGCGATCAACCTCGGGTGCGCTCAATGAAAGCCGTGATCAGCGTACTGTCAATCTTATCGTGCATGGTGGCATGAACGTGATTCACCCCAGTGCCCTCCAGTCGCTCGAACATCTCGCTCTCCGCCGGCCAAGCCTCAGCCCATGTACGCAAAAAGCTACATGTCTTTTCCCGGGTATGACATTTCAACAACCCCGTAACTGAAGGCCTCTCCTGGTCCTCCCAAATACGGGCAACTATG